CTCTCCTCTCCTCTCCTCTCCTCTCCTCTCCTCTCCTCTCCTCTCCTCTTCCTTACTCTTCCCTACTCTTCTCTTTTCTCAGCTCTTCTCTTCTCCTTTTCTTTATTTTTTCTTTTTCTTATTTTTTCTTTTTCTTTTTCTTTATTTTTTCTTTTTCTTTTTCTTCTTCTTCTTCTTTTTTTTCTTTCTAGTGTCTGACTCATAATCTGGAGGATATTTTGCAGTAACTCACTGTTGTGGATGAATGTATCACACACATTAAACAAGTGTTGCTACTGTTCACTTGAAGCCAGCTCACAATCTGTATACTCATTCAACTTTTTTCTCCAAACAACATACATCACTCTGAGCAGCTTCTATAAACAGACCAAGTTCAGCTTGCTATAGCAACACACCTCCAATAAGTGAATTTTCTGGCTGATTAAACAGAAGAAAAATGATCTTTTTCATGTTCTCTGAGAGAAAAGTGTGAGATCCCAGCATACTTGTGTCAACAAATATCTGTTTGTGCTAAACGCACAGTAAGGTCCTCATCCATCCATCCTTAGGTTGTGATGGATGTATAAAAATGGGGGTGTTGGGAGAGGAATTAAGAGAGAATGATAACAACTATTTTTAAAATGGGCTCTGTCCTGGTACATTAAAAATGTAATGAAGAAAACATCTTACCTGCTGATCTGAGACACCTACAGTTCACATCTCAACCTTTAGGTAGATGGGCTAATGCAGAGATAAACTTACAAAATGCCTCAGATGAATGCTAGCCTGATTCCCGCATTTAACTAGAAAAAAAAGCACTAAATGATCAGCCTGAAAATAGGCATTTATGGTATAAATGTCTAAACTTAGGTACTGTGGATCAAAAAAAAAAAAAAAAAAAAAACAGGGATTGCATATTTCAGTTACAAATTCAAACATAATTTTGAGAATCTTATAAATTTGTAATATTTATGTTAGTGCACCTATTTTCTGGACTTGCATCTCTATTTTAGAGTTCTGCATATTCTTTTGAGGTGCAAGAGAACCCTCTGAGTTCACTAGTATTTAAATGGAGGGATTTACCAGCTCTTAAGTATTTTTGAAGTCAAGACGATTGAGATTGGGAAAGCATTTTCTGAGGCAAGCAAACCTATTCTGATGGACAAGAAGGCTGCACACTTGGACCTACTTCCTCATATGTGCCAGCATGTGTGTTTCATGTGACCAAAATGGCAGTTTTTCCTGCCACAGAATGAGACTTCGCATGTGTGATGAGACAATCCCATCACATGTGTGATGAGATGATCCCCTTACCTGGACTGAGGGTGATGGATGGATGGATGGATGGATGGATGGATGGATGTCACATTTTGGTCACATCAGAGACTACTTCTGATCACAGAATGAGAAAGGACTATAATTTGTTTTGGCAGGTCAGAATACACATACTTCATCCTCAGCTTATCCTCTGTTAAAGCATGCTAAGAATATACCATTTATCATTTAAATGAACTTACTTTAATGTGCAATAAAGCATGATTCATGTTTCCTTATACAATTTTACTAGCCTTTTCAGTTTTCATATTTATTGGTTGTTTTCTTTTATTCTGTTTGTATCCACCATTAGTCACGAGAATGAAGGAGTGTGATTCTTGTCTAATAGGAAGAAAAATAAGAAAAAAATGAATAAAATATTTTCAATTTGTTTCAATGCCAGGAATATTTTTGTTTTAAAGAAAACCAAACAAAACAATAATTTGACGGGTATGCAGAGCAATATCTCAAACTACATAACTTAAAATGAATTACAATTATTTTTATATTCTGGTACATCAGCTAAAATTGCATGTATCAATAGGAGTTTTACTGGGATTAAATATAACACAATTGCGTACATACAGCTGACCCTTAAACATGCAGATCAATGGATTTAAAGTTATGCATGTAACTGTTTGAACCACTGAAGCATGAAATAGCTAAACTTGGCCATAATTGTAATTTGTTTGTTGAAACATTGTAAAATGAAACATAATCATAAGTGGAAACATTTTTTTCTTTTAAATGACAACCTTGACTTAACAATGAAACAGGCTTCTTTCTAAACTTTGGTTTACTTCTTGCTCCAAGCAAGATTTAGAAGTTGCTTCACTTCAGCTTGTGTAGCAGAGGAGGAAGGGATAAATTCCACAGCTGAAGGTGGACAAAGGTAGCATTTCTTTGGCAGCAGAAAGTAATTTTTGTTTGGCAAAAAGGGATGCTTGCATTTGCACAGACATTCGGATTATTGGAAGCAGCCCTAGCAAAACTGAATGAATGGACAGCATGCAGGTGAAGTTTGAATGCATATCAAATGGCTCTGAAATGTGTAAAATGATTGTCCTCTGATAGGATGCAGTCCCATATTGCATGCATTTAGCTTTCTGTACGTGATGAGTCATATGGACCCAAATGAGAATACCCATGTGTGTAAAATTAAGATGTGAGTATTCACAATGATATCACCACAGCAGTTCAGATCAGTCTAAAGTTTTAAACTTCAGCTTTTTTTTTTTTTTTTTTCCCTAGGCTATATCAGTAAGATTTCAAAGTGCTGGCAAGGCTGGAGGGAAAATATTTAATTCTTAAGCAAATAAGATTTTAGTACCATCAGTTCCTGACAGAAATCCCTAATTAGTATATCTTTTATTTATTTAGTATATCTTTTATTTATAATGATATAGTGTATCATTGACTTATAAAGACAGATAGTATATCTCAAATGTGCATGAGTAGCAACAGAAAGTTTTAAATATTTAATATGTAAAAATTACTGCATTATTTTTATTCCAAACTGATGTCATTTTAAAACCTTATGCAGGCCCATTTGGGAATTCCAGTCTAGGGCATTTTGAAATATCTGAGGAAAACATTTCTAAGTGGAAATTCCTGAAGAAAAAAAAATGCATTATATATCTCAGGGCCAATACAGCATCTAGAGATTGTGGAAGATGATAATAAATCCAATAAATAAATAAACAAAAAGGACATCTGGAATATCCATTCAGTTCAAGTGATGCTAGGAGCACTCAGCACCTCTGAAAATTAGCTTGCTTATCAGCTTATCAGGTGCCTAAATTAGGATGGATTGGTGCTTTGAAAAGCATGAGCTTAACAAGTCAGTTTTGCAAATGTACAGCACTGTTTCCTGTAATATTTCCATCACATGCAGCCTTGCACACACCACAGCCAGGGAGGAAATGGGATGTCTGGAACAACTGCAGGTGATGCCTCTGGCCTTGACCTTGACACACACAGCAGATTGGGGCTTGCAGGGCTGGAGTCCTGTCTTTTCCAGAGCCTTGTTAAGCTCATCAGTGTACAACAGCCTGCCATGCATTTTCTTTTCAAGATTGGAAGCCAAACTGCTGTTATTTACAAGGAACCATTTCTCTGTATGGGAAGCTTTCCTTCCAAAAAGGTTTCAAACACAGGAACCATTCCCACTCTGCTCTCCCAGTGCTTTCGCATGGATTACAGTGGAACAGTTGGGATCCTCTTTCTCTTTGTTAAAACAACGACTAAAGAGGGTTTTACTACATCCATCAGTGAATGTTGCAATCCAGGCACATGCTATAGCAACTTGCAATCACTTTGAAAGCAGAATTTCCCTGTGATTTCAGTGGGGACTTCTCCTTCAAAACACATGATGTGGTGTGGTCTTTGGCATTTATACCCTCCCCACTTCAGGCAGGAGGAAAAAAAAATCAGGAAAATTAAAACAAATTTAGATTAGTGTAATCTCAGAGTTATGAATGTATATGCTCAGACTTCAGGAAATTATTTTTTTTCAGCCTTACATCAACTCAGCTGTTTTGCATATGTTGGCCTTGGTTAATTCTGTTCTGTTTGGAGTGTAAATGTTAGTATGTTTTTAATATTTGTTTCATATCTCTGAGATTTACAATTGATATGTATACTTTAATACTTTTGATAACATATAACATTTGTCTTCTAAATCTCTGGGACATTGGCCATCAACCCATTCTTGTGTTGGTGAAGCTAAGTTTATGTATGTGTATATATATGCATGTGTATGCTTGGGTCTTACTTTTTATGTACATGTAAATGTGTATGCATATACATGGGTCTTATTTTGGAGGACTAAACCAGGGGAGGTTCAGGTTGGCAATGAGGAGACATTTCTGCTCAGAAAGAGCAGTCAGGCACTGGGACGGGTTGCCCAGGGAGGTGGTGGAGTCACCGTCCCTGGGGGTGCTCAAGGAGAGGTTGGACGTGGTGCCTGGGGACATGGTTTAGTGGGTGACATTAGTGGTAGGGGATGGTTGGACCAGATGACCTTGGAGGGCTTTTCCAACCCTAATGTTTCCGTGGTTCTATAACTAGGGTCTTTGGGGCTATCTGTAGACACAGGGCACATTTAACAGGATGTTACACAGCAGGGAAGATGACTGCTAAGAAGAGGCTTTGGATCAGCCTCCACAACCTGTCAGGACAGCCTGTTCCAGCGTTTGAGCACCCTGATGCTACACGAAATGCATTTTATTATGCTTCAACAGAATTTCTCGTGTTTTGGTCCGCGCCTGTCGCCACAGGTCCTGTCAGCGGACACCGCTGAGAGGAGCCGGACACCGTCTCCCTCACTCCCCCCATAACGTGAGGCGTTTATTTAGCCGGATAAGATGCTGGCAGAGACAGCCACCCCACAACACGACAGCCCGGGGCTGAGTGGCAGCCCTCAGAGGGCGAGGGGGCAGCTGCAGATGCTGTGGACCGCCAGAGCCATGGCACACACCCCCCTCCTCCCCCACGCCCTCCTCCCGCTCCTCCCGCCCTCAGCGGCGCGTACCATCCCCTCACCCTTCAGGGGGTGAGCGCGGAGGGGGGGAAAGCAGCGAGGCGGGACACCCTCCGCTATGCGAGCTCCGTGCTACCTCCCGCTCCCCCCTCTTACATCTCGCGCGGTGGTGCCGTCCCGCCGCCGGGCTCTGTGGCGGCGCTTCCCGCCTCTCCTCGCCGCCATGTTGCGGCGGCGGCGGCGGCGGCTGTGGGGAGCTGCCGCCGGGGGTGGCGGAGGATGCAGGGCCCGGAGCTGCAGCGTCCCGCGGCCGCGCACCCTGCCCAGTGGGTGCTCGTGGCGCCAGGTAACCCCGCGGGGCTCCGAGGTGGGGCGGGCTCCGCCACCAGCGCCCCGCTGCCGGCGGCGGAGCCGGGCAGGAGGCGGCCGCCCGCCCGCCCTGTGAGGTGCTGCGGGGCGCGGCCGGCCCCGGTTTTGTCACACAGCCCCCGACACAAGGGCCCTCCCCGGGGACCCAGTCTTCCTCACCGCCTTTTATTTTAATTATTTTTGTATAAATTTGGCTCGCCCCAGCGCTGTGAGCCCTGCAGAGGGGAGCTGTGGAAGATTCGAGAGGTCCTGTCAGCGAGGCCCCCCGTTATTTACTTATTTATTGAGGGGATGGCTCGGTCCCTCAGCTCCCGCTTCAAAACCACCCGCTTGGCAAACAGAAATCCTGCTCCACACCGAGATGTCCCCTGAAGGAGCAGAGCTCCACATGGCAGCCGGCGCACACGAGGCCACGGGCGCTGTGTAGGCTCCGCTTCTCTCGCTTCACACAAAGATGCCTTTTCCCACCCTTCCCATTTATTTCTGGCTAGGATCAGCCCTTAAATTCGCAGGTCACAACAGGGTTTTGTGGTAAGGAGGATGAGGCAAACAGGATGCGCTCAAACTCCAAGGCACAGAGAGGAAGGAGGCGTTTCACAAGTGCCTTTTTATAGCCTGATCTCCCGAGGCAGTCAGGCTTCCACAACTGCTCGTGGGTCAGCCTGGTACTGTGCCTGTGTCTTGTCCTACCCACGATTACAAGCTTGTTTGTTAATTTCAGCCAAACCTGATAAAAAGGAGGAGCTTTTTGGGGTATTTTTATAATTTTCACGAAAAAGCCTGTGACAATGTGATAAGCGCTGTAAGTGATACCGCCAACAGAAAGGTAGAGAATCAGCTTAGTTCACCAAGGCTTGAAAACGAGGCACGAGTTCAGTCTTGAGGCATTAAGAAACCAGGCTTCTCTGGTTACAAGAGCAGCCGAACCAAGTGTTATGGTTTCCCTGATTCCTCTCTTCCTCTGGTTTTATCTTTCCAGTTCCAGCCTTCGGTATCTGACATGCTTGATGCCTAAGAAAGGAATTTATAAGCGAGGAATTCCTTTCTCTGCAGACTAGGATTTAAAGCTGAATCTTGTATCAGATGACTGGCTATGCCAACAGATGTCCATACTGTGCAAATATTTACAAATATGCTTAACTTATGCATGAGTAGTCAGTTCTGTGCAGTAAGTTAAATTCTTCAGTAAGTGTTTGCAGGATTGGAGCCAGAGCTTGTAACTTTCATGAAGCCAGACAGTTTGTATTACCAATTATGCCAGCACAGCTCTGACAAAATTTATATAGTACTCCAGACCCGTAAGAAAGTTTATTAAGCCGTAGTAGAACCTCAGAGCACATGGTGACTTTTAGGAAAAGTGTGTGGCTGATAATTTCAGAACTCCCCAGCTGATGAAACTTGCATAATGTGTAAATAGGATCACCAAAATTAAATAGTTTTAACGATTTTAGTTTCCTTTTCCTGGTTTTTATGAAGGGAGATTCTTAAAGTCAGTGTCTGTTGTGCTTGTTAAAGTTCTACGTTTCTGAACTGCTCTGTCTGATGGATCTCAGAAAGACTTTGTTGGCCATTTAGCAGAAATTGTAATCAGAAGACCCGAATGCTCTTAGGAAAGAAGATGGACATAGTTGTCTGTATAACTAGAGATGTTTTTTCCTGTGATAGTGTTAATTTTTATCTATATGGCAATCTGTACCTTCACAAGACCTGCTTGGTCTTATTATGCTACATACGTGCATAAAAGCGACTCGGGTAAATAACTGGGATCTGGTATGGGTGGGAGTTTAGTACCATCTGTTAATGTCTGCTAACACCTTGTAGATGTAAATTGCAAGTTTATCTTCGTGTATCGTGTGAATAGTGGCAGGAAAGGGAAAGACATGTTTTAATACTACATAAGGAGCTCCAAAACTTTTCTTATACTAAAAGCACTTTCTAAGGCCCCATTTTCAAGTAATTCAGTTAGTTTGAGCTACTCACCAGAGCAATCTCCCTAAAACAGCTTGTAAGGTTAATAATGCATACCATCCTACACAACTAAATAGCATTTCCACTTGGATACGTCATTCATCTTGCATTGATTTTGACATCTTAAAAGTTCCTGTATGGCTGGAGATGATGACTAGCTCTGCAGAGAGGCTAGATATCAGTTTAAAAAGAATGAAGTCTGTCAGAAGGGTAGAATTTAAAGCTGAGAGAACTGAAACTTGCTTTCTTAACTCAGTATTTCTCAGTCAGTTTAACCCGAAACAAGGCAGGGATGTGGCTGGAGTTCTGGACAAGGATACATGTGTTGCTCTCATCTCTTCACTGTGCCATTCTGAAACTCTATCAGAAAAGTCTGAGCCTCTCGCAGAAGTCTCTGAGCACGGCTTTGTTACTTCTATGACACATAGAAACACTTAGTTAAGTGTAAAAAGCTCATGCCAGAGGAAGGTGAGATTCTTTCTTATTTGGACTTCAGCAACTGGCAACATTGTGATATTTGCAACACAGCAGCTAAAAAACAGATGGATTTCATTTTCTGATTTGCCATAGAAAGTGAGCAGAGTTGTGTGCTTTGGGATTGAAGGCTCTAAAATTATTGCTAATTTCCCTGCTTCACTACACATTTGTAGAATACGTTATATTGTGTGGCTCTGTTGTTTGCAGTGTGTTTGAAATTGAGAAGATAGATTTCAGTTTTGGTTCTGATTTCTTTATTTTCATATTGATTTCAGTGTTCTTGAACCAGCTCACCAGGAATCTCCTCTGTCAGCTAGAACTGCCCTATGTTGTTTTTTCAAGTCATGAGTGTAGCTAGAGGAGTAGTACAGCTGGAGTGGTTGTTTTACCACTGATGCGTGCTACAGCAGTCCCTTGAGTTGTCCTAGAGGGCCAGACTCCCTTGCTTTCTGTTACAAATCATTAACTGTATCGTTATATTTCCAGTACTGTAAAACTGTGACCATGGGTGTCCATTTCTTGCCTACAAGTGGTAGGACAGCTACAAAACACACAGCTTGTCAGGTATTTTGCCTAGATTATAGGGTAAAGGTGAGAAGGAGGGCACAGAGCTGCCTGAGTTGAGGTACAGGATGTCTCCTGGTGTCCAGTCAGCCAGGCACCCTGTGCTTCACCTCCCTCAGTCTTTGTCTACCCTCGTTCCTTTCTACGGCAATGAAAGGGCTTTGTTCACATATTTCTTGAAGCTTGATGACAGCACTTTGCCCTCACCAGTCCATTGCCACACCACAATACTCAAGCCTGTTTGGCACGGGACAGTCTCACAGGGGAAATCTTGAGTAGGAAGAGGGCAGAGAGCCTCAGACAGCCCTATCCAGGCTGGCAGGTAAGCAACGTCAAGGCAAAGTACAAATCTGACCTTTTTAGACAAGGTAGCCTGCCCTTGTCCTGGTGAGAGCTCTGGTCATGGTGTTTCTGCTGATTTATTTTTTTTTCCTGGGGCACAGGAGGATTTGATATGCCAAAACATCTTTTTGTTTTGTTTTCATAAGCACAGCTGTTCCCACGTGAGGGATTGAAGCACCAAGGGCAGGGTGAAGGGGGAAGCTGTGGCAGTCAGGACAGAGGATGGGAACCATGCTGATCACTCCTAAAGGCTGGGAGCCACTGCTGGACATGGTGCAGCCTTAACATGAGCATGTAGAGGAAAGGTGTGAATTGTTGAGAGAGAGCAATGAACAAACAGCAGAAGAGTAGGCAGGGGGATTGGTCAGATGGAGTGAGGTGATGAGGACATAAAATTGGGTGAGGACAGAAGACCGGGGCATGCAGGTAGGAGTAGAGCTGTGCATGCTGGGCTCAGAATAGAGCCAACCCTTCAGGCAGTTTCTCCAGTTGCAGATTAACTATTCTGTGGATACACAGGCACCAGATTTGGCCTAGAGCAGGCTCCGCTCAGCACTAACACGGTTTATTGGTTCAAGTGCTGTGCCATGTTAACACATCTCTGCTGTTTCCAGAACCAGCTTTGCAGTGCAGCTGCTTTCAGACAGTGTCTGAACTAATAAGTCCTGATGGAACCGAGCTGGCTCTGCACAGACCCACATGGGTGTTTCTGTGCTGTGTTCCACGTTCCAGGGGATTTTATTAGCTTGGCTGGAAATCTGGATCTGAACTTGCTTTGTTCGGGGTAGTTGATGTCGACGGTTCAGAAGACCTCCAGAATCTGGAGCGCTGGAGGAATCGTGGTACAGGGGCACCACGGTGTTTGTAAGCCCTGAAGGACCCGCCTGGACTTCACTGGTGGCTGTCTGAGTTTGCAGATTGTGCTCTTCTGCATTTCTCATAGCAGTTGGACAATCTGTGATGTTTATTGTGTGTGTATCCACACCCTCCACTTACTCTTGAGAATGCAGAGCTTCCTATACAGCCTTCCCATTGTATTGTAGCTCCTGAGTAGGTCCACGGGAAAAGAAGTGGCTCCTGAGGATTAGAGCCCATCTGTCTCATAGCTAGAAGGTTGCTAATGCTGTACTTTTGTAGAAGAGATTCTGTGGTTACTGAATATTTATGTTGTGGTGGTTTTTTTTTTTCAAATCATATCACCTGAATCAGTGAGGTGCTTTTGTGATACACACATAGGATATTTCTGTTTGCTTCGCAGAGTCCATGGAACTACCGTTGTCAGTGTTTTCTCTGAAAATCTTAAGGACTAGAAATGATTTTTTCGAGAAAGAAATAATATTGAGACCCCACCTAACTGTAGGTTTATAAGAGTAGAGATCTGGAAAACTTTCAGGTGCCGTTGTGAAATCACAGTGTGTGACAGATCCGATCTGGGATCTGTGTAACAAAGTAGCTTTCTTACATAATGGCCTCAGACTGGTCGGAGCGACAGCGACCAACCTCTCCCGCTAGCTGCCTAGCAGGAGGGGTGTGAAGGGCAGTCTCTTTTCAGTACAGTTTCTCGGGGCTAGGTGTGATGTCGGAGCTGATGCTATTTATATCCTTCGCTGGTTTTAGCAAAGAGGTCAGGAATTGAAGACAGTTTTCTAAGTTTGGCGTTCCACTCAGCACCCAAGGTTAAGAGCACCGTATTTCATTTGTTCTGTATTAGTAAAAGAAGTAGGGGTTAGCTGCGAGCTGAAGATTAATTTCCAGCTCTATTTTTCTGAGCTAGACAAGTTTAGATGACTACATTTTTTCGGTCTGTTGTTTTCTTAAACAGCAAATTGATTAGCTTTTTTATTATTTTATGGGAACTGTTATTTTAATGGCACTGGAATGATAGCAAGAAGGGAGGGAAATTTAACAATCCTATTATTTTTAGGAATTACTTATTTAAAAATAAAAGGAGCAGTTTCACATGAGACTTGGCAAGCTTTTTGAACAAATCTCATATGCCAAAAGTCAGATGGAGGCAGAAATAAATGGACTGTGATGCCAAACCATAGGGCATCAGCGTGCATTAAATTAATCCTCCTTTCTTTCAAATGAGACTAAGGAACTTTTGTCTCCATGCAACAGAGGAAGCATTTGACTTGAAAATTTGGGGTCATATTGAGAGAAGATGTCATATCAAAAGAAGCTGTTGAATATATAATGCATTAAAGTAGTTTGCTTTAACATCTGAAATAGGCAGGGTGGTTTTTTTTTATTATTATTTTTTATTTTCCATTCTCTTACCTTGTGCTTAAAAACACTTCGAAACATGCTTTTATTTAGTGTTAAAGAAATAAATTCTGAGTATCTGCTGCAAAACAGACCGCTATGCTGGGCTGTTAGAAAGCTTATTTCAGAAGTTGTAGCGAATGCCAAAACTGAGCAGGACATTTGAACATTAATACTTCCAGAACGATTCAGATAAAGAACTTGGAAATAATGTTCACAATTAAAAATGTGTGTTTTTAAGGAGCTGACTTGAAACATCAGAAAGATAATGTAAGTATACGTGCCCGTATTTATCTAACTTCTTAATAAAGTGAGCGTGGATACACTTACTGTAGAAGTCAGCACTCTGCGGGCATATTTTACTTAACCCCTCCCTAAACTGGCATTTGCATCTCCTGAACAAAGCCTTTTGCCTGCAGGTAATTTGCACTATTTTTTTGCATGTCATCTCTTAAAAGGCATACTGAGCTCAGCTGTGTATAAAGCAGATATAACTGGCAAGCTAAGGAGCCAGAAGGAAGCATAGCAAATAAAATAACTGAAAAGAGATGTTTTAATGTGTAACACCATCTCCTACTTCTGCTTTCTGCCATCTGGCTTGGAAGAGACCAACTTATGCCAACTTAGGCCTCTCTGCACATGGGAATAAGGCTGATTCAGCCAGTAACACAGCTGCACCAGTGTTGACCCTATAAATATTGGGAAGGGAAGTCTGAAGTTTTTATCCTTTCAAGTGATAACCTGTTCTCGAACTTCTCAAGATTGACTTTTCCTTCATTCAGCTCAGCCTCCTCTGGATGATCTGCCTAACATCGAGATCTCAGTAACAGCTGAGTTAGTATTCTCTGTTGCCAGTGAGTCTATAAGCATGTGTTTTTGGCTTAAGAAGTGATCTGTGCCAGCATTAGGTGACGTTAAAGGATGCTCTCAGGCAGAAGCCTTAATATTAAGCGCAGTTGCTTGGCTGTGTACTGGGACAGAAGACTACTCGAGCCATCTGCTAGTATTTCTGCATCAAGTTTTGTTCAAGATAGAAAACTTAGTGCCATTTTTGTATCTCAGTAATGTTTTGTTTTGTTTGTTTTTTTTTGACAAAAGTTTTGTCAGTATTTGCAGGTGAAGTAGGAGCCAAAAAGGGTTCAAGGGGTGTAGATTGCACCACATCAAACATTACTTGCTTATTTGCACATTATGTCAAATCATATATACTAATAATTACCAAACTGATTGCCATCCTAGCTTTTACAACAGGCATCACAGAAATCCCCTTGCTGAAGCCAGTACTATGTATGGTCGAGAGGATAAGGAAGTGAGGTAACATCAGGCTATTGTAACTGAGTAAAAACAAAGATAAGATTTCCAAAAATGAAGCAGGTTCAAGTGCCTCCTGTGTAGGCGTGTGGAGGGGAGGCTGTTTGCAGAGGTAATGGAGCTGTGCACCATTTAGTGCTCTCCAGGGAGCACTGTCAGCTGAGGAAGCAAAGATACCTTGTGCTCATCTGTTGCTTTCCCACCTCTGTAAATTGGATAAGATTGACTTTTCTAATTAGCCTAAGCTGACCAAAGAGCCCATTATTTTGTACAGAGCAGGTGATTTTCTGTGGCATCTGCTGCTGTCGCCACAAGTTCTGTCCCTCTCTTCTGATCGTGTAACCACGTGGTGGCCGGCAATATTTACTGATCTGGATGAAAATGAAGACTTTTTTGTGGCTTGTTTCTGCTCATCTCGGTCAGTGAACTGAGCTGGCTTGCCACACGGCCACAGAAATGCTGGTTTTAATGGAGAGAAGGCAGCAGAGGTCGGGATCTCAGGACTGCATTTTATAATGACCTGTGATCTTTGGTCCCATTCATGGGACTGCATCCTCAGTCTATGCATACCTGAATGGATCCATTATGCTAATACGTAATTATCTTTTAACTTATTAAAAAATAAACATTTGTTTGATATAAAGTCCTGGATTTATTAATTACTTTTCAGTGGACTTTTTTTTTTTTTTTAGGGTGTGCTGCAGGACAGAGGATGCTTTGCTTACGTAGCATTGGCACAGACACTGAATTAAAACTGTTTACTTCAGGGTTAACTGGTTCTAAAAAGAATGTAAAAATAAACAATTATCAGATCTTACATATCTGCACCCCTAGACTGCATAGTTTAAAGGCTTCCATAAAATGTCCGTTAAATGAGCTCCATCATCATCGTGTCTCCATCTGATACACCTTTTCTGCATGACTAGAAGTTCAGAAGGGAATGGAAAAGGCTTGTGTAGGTGACGTATGGTTTAATATCTGTTTTTAAATGAAATCTTAACTTTATATTTCCAGCCTTTTAAATGATCCTGTTTTTTTGCAGGGTGGTGGTGGGGAAAGTTGTGCTCTCAGAGGGTTTTTTCCTCTTACGCAATTGACAGATATTTACAGCCTTTTGCTTGCTTGGCTGGCAGCTTTTTGCATGGGAATTCCATATAATTTGATAGTAGTCTGTTATATACAGTATTCTATAAGCAGTTTTTGAAAAAAGGTGAACAAACCTTGCATCATCTCTAACAGTTTAATAGATATTAGTGGGAGTTTTGTTCTTTTCCAGTTTATTCATGTTGCAGTACCGGCTAGCCCTTTATTTTTTTTAATGGCCACATTTGTTAACGCCACATATCTATCCATTGTGGAATAAATTAGTGCCGGAAATCCTTTGACAGCCGCTTCATTTTCACTTTGTTCTGTTTCTACAGTTTACGGAATTTGCCTGGTTGTGTGTCTGACCTCCACGAAATCCGACAGGCTTCTCTCTTTTAGTGTAATTGAAGGCTTTGTAGTCTCTTCATCTCACCTTCAGGGTTCTGATGCTCCCTCTGGAGACCCCAGTACAGCTGCTGGATGTATCACCCACGTTTTTAGGTGGGCTTTATGTGACTTGGTTGATTGTGAATGAATGGTAGATTGTAAATAACTTAAGAAAAGTCTACCTACAGAACAGCGTGGTGCTGGCGTTGCATTGTCCGGCGTTGTGCTTAACTCAGAACTCCCTCCACTGGTGCAGCAGCGGCGCTGCCTCACCCCGGTTGCTGGAGGTGTCGGGAAGGTTGAGGGAGACAGCAGCGTGCTCCCAGGGATGGGGCAGGCTGCAGGGGGGTTCAGCTGCCTCCTGGAAGCACCTGGCACTTTAGAGAGTGGCTAGCTAATTCAGATGCCTCCCTGGGACAGGATTAATCAGGGCCCTCTGTATCTGTGTGTCTGCTTTTTGTATCCTTGCAGTGAACATTGTCCTTGGAGAGCAGCGTGCAGTACTGACACATCTGTCACTTCGCTGACCTGTGCTCCCCGTGCGTTACCTGCCACGTACAGCTGCGGTTGGTAGAGAACAGAACAGTCAGAAAAGTCTCTTTTCTCTCACTTGCTATTCCAGGAGAGGAACAGGTCTCTCAGAGCTGAGCTACAGAAGCTGTTGGAGTAAGCGTAGTGGCAACCACCTGATGTTTTGCATTAGGGTTTCCTGTAATGTCCCTTTTGTCTGCTTATTTTCTGTAAGATTACAGCTTATCTGGTTGTGAATCTTAAAATTCAAAAATCCCAAACGCCCGGTTTAACTCTTAGTTTTGCTAGAAAATCACTACAGAACTGCTTTTAAAGAAGTCTTTGTTTGCTTAGCTAGAAGAGATCCTTGCCCAAATACGAGGACTGATAAATGTAATGACATTAAAGAAATCCAGTTACCTTTCCTGGCTGAAGGCCAGAACACACACAAGAAAGCGTTGGGACACCTAACTTCAAAAATCCCTTGCTCAGCGTTTTCCTAGCCGTGAAATGTTTAAATTCAGATAAATAGGGCCTTCTTCGTCCGTAAGGCCACGTTACTATTGCATCCAGTTTTCCAAGCAGGCTTTCTCCCAATTGCCTCTTTTTATCTGCCAACTTGACATCTAGTAGAGCCAATCTGTAACAAAAATATACTTCAGCTGCCCCTGGAAATGGAGTGGGGTATTGAATACGTTTTGAAGAAATCCCAAGGTTTAAAACAAAATTAAAAAAAAAAAATCAAAACACTTTTGCCTTTGCCCACACCTTCCCTTCTTTTTGTGTGTGCACACATGCGTCCCTTCTGGTGAGCTGCCTTCTGCAGCAGCTGTGGGGAGAATGGGGTGATTGCTCTGATCCCATGGGCTTGAGATGCTGGGACTGGAGCAGATAAAGGGGAATCCATCAGGACAGAGGGTGCTGGCACGGGGTGGCCCTCAGCAGTGGAAGATGCCAGGGTTGGGAGGCAGCGGGGTCGCTGCAGGCATCTCCCAGACTTTGTGGAGATGGGTGGCATGAGAAGGTTGGGAAAAGAGCAGATCTACCGGATAAAGCTGCGAACTTCATTAAAACCAGCTTCATTAGGAAGGGTTGTCTACTTAATTGTTCACGTTATACACAATGCAACTTCGGGCTCAGCTGGACGCCTTCCTGGTGTTCATAAATCTATGCATGAAGAAAGCGGAGCAAGTGAGCGCTAAAAGCTCCTTCACTTTTTTTTGTTTTGTTTTGTTTTGCTTTGCTTTTTGTTTCAAATTTTGAAACTCACATTTAGTGTGTATATTTTAACATGTTAATGCGAAACACATCAAAGTAAACACATGCAGTGTGTTTCTTTCACTGTCATTAATCACTGTAGTGTTTTAAAAAGTAACAAAAAATACACCAACGTTAAACTGTGGTCAAAAATCGAAATATACACAGCTTTAGAAATTTGAAGTTCTCCTTTGCCAGGACAAATGTAGCTTGACAACCGTGTGTGTTTATGTATCAGCATATGCAGTAAGTCTGGTTAGCAAATATGGACTTTTTTTTTCCATTAAAAATCCCTAACATATATTGAAACTTTTTCAAGCACTTTTTCAAGCCACCTGAAGACTCAAATAAATGCAAATTCGGGGGGAAGAAGAGAGCGGCAAATTCTTCAAACAGCTCTAGGAACCGTTATCTTCCAATACTCCACAAAACACACTTGTTTGGTTTTTAAGTCCTGCTTATGTCTTCATCTGGACAATTTCTGTTTGGAGGTGTAAATGTGAAAGATGAGGTTTACCTGGGTCTTTTTTTGGTACTGAGGTCCCTGTGAACAGCCTGTGAGACATCTACCTGTCTTTTCCTGAAAGGCTGAGGACAGGCTTTCAGCCAGAGTGGACACCGATTTCTGAATGTGCTTGAGGTTCCTACCTCCGTGTTTTTTAAGGAAAAGGACTGTGCTGTCTCAGCAATCCTCCTGGATACTACCAAAACTCTCCGCTTCCCGCAGCAGCACCATAACCCAAGCATCAGCCTGGTCCCTGTCAGTCCATTCTCTGGGGGCTGGATGCTGGTTGTGTATGTGAAATGCTTTAGCAATTTTGCTTGCGCTGATGAATGCCTTTATGAGAAGAATTGGGACAGAACTGGCAGTCTGCGAGCTAAGAAGGATGATGCTGTCATGTTGGTCTTCACTCAGATGTTGGAAGTCGTTTTCATACATATAACTTAGACTTTCCCAATGAAGAGAACTTGGATAGAATACACGTAACTGGGGATCCTTATAGATGTTTTTTTCAGACTTGAATCAGCATCATTATGGGAGCTGTTTCCCTTCTATTTTTCTTTTTTTTAAATTTCACAGAGAAATTGTACTTTTGTGGCTCTGCTTTTTGTCTGACTTTTTTGCTTAAAAACACAGAAAAGAGAACAACTGTCAGGAGCCTAAGCCAGAGGCGCTGTATTCTCTCAGCTTCTTTTTCCTGTGGGGAGAACGAAACGCACTCATTGTTTTTCAAGATTATATGTAACAGATAAACAAGGGCGCATATTTTTCACATAAGTAACAGCCATTCAGACAATTCCTGCCCCATATTGCTGCATATTCTTAGTTCCTGAAAGAAGACCACTGTTTGTTCCTACAAATATTTTACCACATGCACTTTTAACTTTTTAATGTCCACACCATGCTTGGCCTAATTTGCCAAAGCATTCTCATTGTCATTGAGACTAATCGGGGCAACACATCAGTTCATCTCACTTAACTGAGATGTCAAACTTGGGAGCTCTGTTGCCTGAGGCTCTCTGGGGGGAAGTGGTTTTCAAAACCTAAATCATCCCCAGGTGTGTATCTTTCCCGTGGCAAATAGAGAGTGCCAGGAAGTCTGGAATCATAATTTAGGTGCCTTGATCGGGTAGGATGAATTTGGGCCGAGGCATATAGCTTTTTAGGCAGAAAATATGTGAGCTTTCAAAAAGTGTCAATCCAATTAATTCTGAGCGTCTTGGAGAAGCATGGCAGAACGTGAAATGCTTCTCAATTTACAAGTTTCTAACTTTTTCCTTTCTCCCCACAGAGGCTGCTACTGACCCCCCTAAGACACCTGACAGCGAACCTATGTTTACAAGACTGCGCAGTCCAAGCACAGGCAAGTTTTGGAATAGTGACATGAGGCTGTTAATGTTCTGGTTGATTCCCTCCACCACCAAATGATTCGCATTTTGCAAGCTGAAATAGTGATGATAATGTAAGTCTTATGTGCCAAAGATACTGCTGGTGATGCCAGATAGTTAATGCTGTGCAAACATTTAGGATTTCTTTTATAATTTTAATTGGTTGAAATGTTTATTCATCAGGAATATTGGCAGCACAAAAAAGAGGTGTAATTTAAGTTGTGTTTTTAAGTGCATTAGTTTTGGGGAACTTGCAGTGTTGGGTGTTGAGCTTGGGCTTTTTTTTTTTTAATCCAAATTTAGGCTTCATACCATTCATCTTATGCTGTAAAATAAATAGGCAGGGTCAGAAGACGTGATTCAATTATACTTACCAAGCTTTTTGAGTCTTTACATTTTTAAATCTAATTTTCTTGTTTCCTTGGTCCAAGTGGTGGTATCTCTTTTCCCGTTAATAGATGACGAGGCACTCTGAGTTCAAAATACATTGGAAAGACCAGCAGATGCAGGTGATATAATGACACCACCATCCCACACACAGTAACTTTCTTCTAGTCAGATTGCCATTTTTGTCAAGGATTTGTTATTTCTATATGAGTAACATAATAATTGCGGTATAAGATACTGCAGCAGAAATCTGCAGCAAGCCTTGGTTAGGGTTAGCATGTTTTGTTTAAAAAACATGGTTTGTGCTTGTTTTTTCTTTTTTCACCAGCTTGTTTTCTAAATTACATACTTCTGTTTTTGAAATTCACCATTCATTTATATATATATTTGTAACTAAAGTCTTTAGGTACATTTTAATACCACAGTACTCTAATTTCTACATGAAAAAGTAATTTAAAAACTAGATACAGAATGTGAAATCATTTATTCTCGTCAGGGTACTTGTTTTTTGATTGCTCAGATTTACAGTGAGAATATACAGCCAGAGAAATTTTCCACCTGCTGTATTATGTTGGCTTTGTAATTTATTATGTTTTAAAAAGAGTAGATATTAATTTGCTTTTCTCTGTGGAAGAAGAGAACTATTTAGCTTGTAGAATCAGAGATCTTGGGAAAGGTTTCTGGGGAAAACCTAAAGTACAATGATTTGACCAAAAGCCTGGGTGTGTTCCTTTAGAATTTACAGAAGCTTATTTATAGACATGCATAAACTTTCAGTTATGTAGCCTATTATAAGTATAGGGTTTGAAAATGGAAGGACTGAGAACACCCTAATAATGTCTTTTCCTTATGTCTGGGTCTAATGGATGAATTGTTGATGCCAGATATTGTATAAATACCCACTGAAGGACTGAGCGCGCTGTGGATAGTCATGCTAACCACTTTATTAAATAAAAGTACGCACGGTCTTTTTTTATAGTCAGGTAAAAAAGGACAAAATTTCTATCCCATGCAAAGACTATAAACTGGTGTTTCAGCCTGTAATTCAGAAGTCCTACAAGAAGCATTTTTCAAAGTTTTAAATTAAAAGAAGGGGAGTACCCGTGCCACAAGACTTAAGTAACTTATTGAAGTGGCAAAGTTAGGAGGAGAGCTACTTAGCTTCTCTCTCCATCTCCTGGAGATTCTCTCTAATGACATAACTGGGGACCCATGGTGACTGTCCTTTTAATGTAAAGAAATAAAATAAGGAGCTGAAGTTATGCCGTAGGAATGGTCTCTTTCCCAACATTTCTTAGCTCTCCACCGCATTTGGCAAGCACGCTCGCTGGTAGGAGTCTTTAAGCTGTTCGACGAATGCTTCCATGAATAGTCTGATGTCTGGCACTGATCAAACTATGGTGTAGACCCTTGTTAAGAAGCACATGGTAATGATTGAAACCTCTGCTCCCCCTTATATTTACTGTTCACTCCTCTTCTCCCCTCTCCAAAAGAAGAATGATTATCAGAGAACTGAAACTGTATCCTTAGGTGAGGTTAAACATTTGGTCAGCCTCTTGGATAAAGGGGGAAAAAAAAGCATCATCAGTCATTTTTGGGAAAAGATGCATCTGCCCGTTTTAGCTGACCTTCCTCTGCACCTAAGGAATCTCTTCAGGCTGGAGACAGTAGTGCTGACATCAGCTTGCGAGGGCTTGCATTGACACTTTTTTGAGCCAGCATGCGATCTGCAAGTCAGTGCAACTTTGCAATTTGTGTTTTGAGCAGGACTGCCATGTTGCGGTTGATGTTGTCTCTCGAAGATGCACTGATAACCAAGACAGAACTAGTCCAGACTCAACTAACTGAACTTCAGTGGCCCCTTCTGTAGTTCTGGTATCTTGTTTGAGACGAAGAAAATGCCAGTCCCTTTCGTAACACATCTTCTCATTAGAACCTAGAAACAGCAGAGTTGAGCTGTGAAGTGTCTCAAAATAAATCCTTTCTTTCCTTTTCCAAACTATCAAGATTCTGATGGGCACTTTGTGGCAGTTCCTTTTAAATTCCTTGTTCACCTTCGGTTGAATTATCTGTTGTCCGTTTTCATGCACACACACACAAAAAAAAGGTTTCAAATTGTCACTTGACAGTTTGAGAGTTTTGTTCCCCTAACCCAGCATCTAATTCTTGGGAACGAGCATGAGAGAGGGAAAGGAAATTTTCTGGTTTTCCACCTTCCCCCTTCAGTACAGACAAAAGCTAATTTCTTGTGTGATTTTGATTTGGGTTTGGATCAAAGGCTTTGTGTTGTAAGATGAACTATTCACACATCTTATTTATTGATTCAAATTCAGTTTGGTTTATAGAGCTGGTAAACGAACATCTGTATATAATAGTTTTCTTTGTCTGAGCTTTCTTTGTAGTGAGTTTATGTAGAATGTGTGTATGTTTGTGTGTGTATGTATATAAGGCACATTCTTCAGATGTATTGGGTATTCTTTTGATTTTTGTGAAAGCTTACAAACACAAACCAGATTTCTCTTTCGACAGGGGAAGCAACCCTTTACTTATTCAATAGTGGTGCACAGCAGCTGTTTGAAGTTAAAGCTTTTCATGAAGAATATCGTTCCTGGTTTATAGGTGAGACTGTTCAACAAGGTGAGTAATATAACATATCCTTCCCCCAACTGTAACTAATGTTCATAAACAGACACCTTCCCTCTCTCTTCTAGTAAATTTACAGGTGTTTCTCCTAGTTGTTTGAGGCATGCTGCATCACATCCCCACCTTCTGACACACTCGTTTGCCATCTGGATTTAACCAGGGCTAGGGGCTTTGTGGTCTCTCTTTAAAAGGCTGCCTTTGGCAGCCTCAATTAGACAGATGTTCGTTTGTCTTTGAGGAAGGGTATAGCGGGGCGGGGGAGTCATTCAATTGTATTTAAACTGAAGTGCTATAAAATACTTAGCTTGCCTTGTCAATCAGACCAGAAAGTCCTCAGTGTAAGTAAAATATGTCTTATCCTACGGCAGGGAAAAAGGGCTGGAAGGCGTGAGCTAGCTAAGCAGAGCAGCGTGTTAGAGCTCCAAGCGTTGGAATGCATGGTCTTGTTTTCTTTTAATTACCTCTGTAGTCCTCTGGGTGAGTGTTGTGATCTCAGGGATAGGGCTGCTGTCTGAGGGTTCCATTTCAGTGTTTTGTCTGAAGTGAGCTCATCTATAGTATCATAGTCCGTGATCTTTCTAAAAATGAGAAAGAAACTTATATAACCACTCATGACAGCTTTAACAATCCTTTATCAATAAGGGTGTCACTGGGGTAGTGTTTCTCTCCCAGGACGTCCATAGACCATGCAGTAAGTATCAACTCAGGAGATGAACGTATACCCTTTTTGTCCATTTTCAACTACAAAAAAAAAAGAGCATTTATAATAATAAATAAATAAAGAACCTTACCAGACATGTGCCTTCTTTAATGGTAATATCCCAAATGTGTGTTATTTTTTAAACATCCTTTGCAGGTGTGTATAGCAATGCAAACAGTATGTCTGTGAGCTTTTTCTTGTTCCATCTGGGGGGGAGCCAAAAGACCAGGTCTGCTCCCTGCTCCCAATTACATCCATGTTGTATTCTCCCCTTTCTTTTTCTAACCTCCGCTTTGGCCCTTTGGAAACACTTGCCTCAAGGAGCAATTGCTTCAGTTTCCTTTAAAATATAAAGGAAGGATTTTCTTTCCTGAATTTTTGGGCCGCTGCATCTTCGCGATGGTCAGGTGGAAAACAACACAAAAAAGTTGTGTGTTTGCAGTTAAAGCAAATCATCTCATTATTATTTGCAAAGAAGGACAGAGGTCTTTATACACCTACTGTGAGTCTGAACTCCTTAGAACAAGTAAAAATACTCTTCCTGGAGGTACAGTTGAAAGCATTTAAATTGAAACTTTAAGAAAGTGGCTAGCATTTTTTTTTCCTCCAATTTTTATTATCAAAACATTCAGCTTTATGATTAAGTAGTCCAGGTACTTTCCGCAGCTAATGGCTGTGGTGTTGAGATTAAGAGCTGTCTTTGCCTGGTTCTTGTCAGGGAAATGTATTCCCTTGTAATCTGGGTAGTTTTCTTCCAGGGTCTTAGCATGTGACAGTACCAGCTTACAAACTCACATAGCTGGAGAAATGTTTTGACCCCGAACGCCCTAGACCTATCTTGGTTTTGCTTGCATGGGTTGATCTGTATCATTTTGATATAAATGTGAGGTGCCTTATGTTTGTCTTACTGAGCTCACACAGCACTTGAACCACGTTTCGAGGCTGTCACCTTTAGGCTTAGCTTTTGATTACAGAATTGCAAAAGGAAGATGACAGAGTACAGTGCGAGAGCCCATTCTGCTCCAGCCAAGGATTCATTTAGGATTCTTCAGGCTTGTCAGAAGCCGTACAAATAGTCCCATAATAGCCATGTCGTTGGTACTCTCTCTGGAAAGAATTGAAATTAGCTTTGAGATAAATGTAAACTGGATCCCCAGGCTAATTTGGCTATACAGATACATTGCAGGGACTTCACACTATAATGCATCATGGTAGCAGTGCAGATGCTAGATTGGGTGTGAGCTTTGACCAAACCACCTTCCCACCCTATCTTTTGTCAGCTTTAGACCATTGCAAAAAGATTTCCTTTTTAAAAAATATCTTAATCATGTGAATTAAAAAAGAATTACATTTATTTGCCTTTGGTTTGCTAATTAATGTCAAGTTGACATTGATTATTGTCTCCAATTAGTGAATTTCCTTATTTCCAATTATCTACGATTATACAGAAAGACTGACTGAGCTATTAACCTGCAATGAGCTTCATATGGGCAGAGGTGTCAGCTTCAAGGAGAGACCAAGTTCTTCCTTTGTAATTCTGAATAAAAAACACAAACATTTTCTGATCTGTTGCAGTGTCTTTTGTTCTATTGGGAGACTATATGCAGATTCTCCCCTTCCAAATGAAAGGCAGCTCCAACTTAACTATCTCTCGAAATTATTTCTTGCATGGCCATCCTCTGCTGCCAGCATGGTGTTTTCTTGCACGGTATTTGGAGTGGAGTATACTGGGTCTATCTGGTATCCCAAAACAAGGTTCTGTTACACCCAAATCTGCCAATAGAGGGCAGCTTTAATTTTGCTGTTTTTATTACAGTCCAGAAAAAGGGAAAACTGAGAGTGCTTGAAGCCAGAAGACCTGCAACAGAGCTTGTGCTTTTGTTTGGCAGCGTTGAGAACTGAGCTCTCTATATTTTTAACATAAAATTCCAAATACTATTTTCTTGCCCATTTTACTGAAATACTGGATTACTTAACATTAAAAAATCCACTCTTCTTGCCCATGATCCTGACAGACATCCTAAAAAATGACATCCTAAAAAATGGCCAAGCAATATACTCATGTCTCTTGGTACTGAATTTATTTTTGTATATCTGTCTTAGATGGGCGCCTGCTGTTCGTGACGCCGATGGACCCCTTATTCCTGATACTTTATTACCTCATAAAGGCAGACAAGGAGGTAAGCCCACTTATTTTTTTCACTGGAATTCTCAGGAGAAAGCATTATCTCTGTCTTCATTTTCTGCAGAAGTTATGTTAATTTTATGAACAGGGACTTCCATAGTATGGGAAATTAAATTTGCTTTTAAAACAGAGATGTCCACCCTAGACATACTTCTGTTTTCACCAGTTTTTTGGCCAGTGAAGTATATTCCAGGAGTCAGCTTGCAATCTGAACAAAACCTAATCCCCTCTTTGTAAGAGAAGCAGAGAATCTTTTGTCCTTTTGTGAGAGCCTATCCCAGAACTATTGAATTTAAAATGATAGATGTCATCAGAATAAAACAAACTAGAGCCCGTCCTAAGGAGCAGATGAATCACTCTGAGAAACAAAAGAAAGAAAGAGGATTTTGGATGCTATGGGAGATGAAGAAGAAACATTTCTGTGGCAGTTTGAACTTGAAAGGAAACATTGCCTTTTTACAAACAGTATTTGTTGAACTGGTGTATCATGCAATAGCAAAGGGATGACCAAGTATCCAAAAGATGAGTAATAAATGGGTTAATCAATTTATCAAGGGTGTTGCAAAACCTTACTTAAATATCCAACATGTATCAAAACTCCTAGGCAATATTATTGATTTATAGTTTGTAATGTGCCTGTGAAAAGAGAGCATAAAATAAAAATGTTAATCCTCGTTTTGTATTTCATGGGGTCAATAATTTCACTTTATGCATCCTAAGAGGTTTTCTTCTAAGAGCACTTCCTATCAAGTGGCTTGCTGTTTTCTGCTCTGGGTTGCAGGTGGAGAATGCAGGAAAACTATTCATGTATGCTGAAGAAATAAAGTCCTACTAGACATTTGTAATAGTAACCTATTGTTAAGTAATTACTTCTAAATAATTTATGGTGTAGGGTGTGCCGGTGTGTTCAGTCGTTCTCTGCTCTGTTCCTGCTGTAGGGTGGGCCATCAGAAGAACTCATTGCACAGGAATAGCTGAGCTGTTTCTCTCAGTATTGCACTCTGTTTGAATTCAGCACTCCTTTGAAAGCTTTATAAACCAAACTTAGGGAAAGAGTAAATCTCTACTGTGACAGTGAAGAGGTAGCCTGAATAAAGGATGACCGTTGCTGCTGTTTTCTCTGCATTGGAAGCATCCAATACTGCCATTTGCTTCTTAGGTACCTTCTTCTGGAAGGGTTTTCTAAACCAGGCAATGGTGCCTGGTAAGTTCGTAGGGCTGTTATGGGTTCCTAATTAAGGACAAACGCATTCCTGCAGTGCCCTGCCTAAATTAGCGTATCCTTCAGTAAAGTGAAGTCTTGAGGATTTTGTGGCAGATGTCTCAAGCAAGGCCAGCTTGAATACAGCACATTCACTTCTGGTGTGAACTAATGAGTATTCAGATACCTTCTGAGTATTGTAGAATCATTCTTTGCACCATCCTCTGGTTTTGATAGTGGGAGATGATGCTTTCTGAGCAGAGCCATGTCTCATCCAATCTTAGCTTAGGCTCTGTGTTGCTGCACAAGGTGAACATGGCTGTCTTGCTTCTGGACACAAAGTGGTTTGTGCAGGTGAGTTATCCATGGGAAATAGTTCACTGAAGCTTTATTTCTGCCCATCATAACCTTTTTACCATTGTAATTGTACCTTTTCAATTTTCATGAGAAACAAATTGAAATTCATTGGTTTTGTGGGTTGGTTTTGCTTTTTTTTTAAATCTTATTGAACAGTGGATGGTTATTTTTATTAAGCCTCTGACTGTTTAGTAAGAGGATTAATTAATAATGAAAACAGTTTACCCAAGTGCTTTTTTCATACTGACCGCTGTAATGACTTCAGCCTTGGCTCCTGAGACCTTGCGCTCTCCAAGGATGGAGAACTCGCTGAGTCTTTGTACTGATGCGCTGAAGGAGCTTTCCAAAGAGAAGGCTGCCAGTTGTGCCAAACTGTGCTGAATGATTATGCATTGTTTGGCAACGACAAGATTTGTTTGATGGTTCTGTCATGTGTGGGGCTATTTAAGTTGTGCCAAAATCCCTTTATATGCATACTCTGGCCAAACTGGAATTGACTTTGCAGAGGTGAAAGGTTAATAGTGTGTTCCAGAAGCTGCCCTGCTCCTTTGAGATTTATCTTTTATGGAAGGAAAAGCAAAATTTGAATGGAAGTTATGACACTGGGTTTAATCCAACAGGTTTTGGTCTCAAACACTATTGGCACACACTGACTACTGTGTCTTATGTCATCTTCCAAAAAATCTCGCTGTACTTCACATTAGCTTCTCCCCATGTTGTTTTAAATTTGGGCTCTTAAGTGCAGTAATTGAAGAGTTCAGCATTTTGCAGATTACTTACTGGTTTGAAGTAAATATTTATAGTTTGCTTTGTAATCAGTTTCTAAATGTGTCATGTGGTACCGTTCAAAATCTGATCTTCTTTAAATACTTTACTTTAAAACTGTGGCAATTGCATGCGTGTATATTTCTCTATATGCGTATATGTCTTAACATTGTAATAATGCTTTTATTGTTCCTTTGATGTGTTTTCAGCAACAAGGAAAGTTCCAGCCACTGGATCAAGTTGTGCTAGACTCGGAGTACCCTTATTGCCCATTGCTGCTGAAGTGTGCAGATGTTAAACAGTCCATACATCATGTAACGGAAGAAAAAGGTGAAAAGATTTGGGCGGGGGAGGGAGGGGAGGTTGGATTTATTAGTGCTACTTCGTTACAAAATAGATTTAAGTACTGTTTTTCGCTTTACTTAAAGTGCTGGATGAAGCTGTATTTTAAAAGCAGAAGTTTAGGCTTAGAAGTCTTCGTTACAGTATTGTGAATAGTAAAATGTGGATCTCAAATTATCTGCTGTAACGCTAAAATAGTTGTGCAGTCTTCCTGCTTGGTGGCATAAAAATGATAAATTGATCAGAGCTGGCTATGTGCTATGAATTTTCTTTGCCTTTTGATAAAAGTTTTACTTCTTCCTAAAGTCTTTCTTTAGTGTAGCATAGTCTTGTGTGGAAGAAGTGAAACCATTGTCCATGTGACTTTTTTTTTTCCCCTTTGTAGCAAAGCATTCAAACAATAAGCAGAACAAAGCTCAAGAAGAGTGAATATACTGCTGAGAAAGGAGAGCACAAGTTTTCTAGCTTTGCATAATTTATTGTGGGATTAAGTTCAAAGACTTAATTTTATTTTAATTTTTTACATGCAAACCTTGATTGGGATTCATAACTGTGAGAGAAAAGCTGAATGGAAGAAAATAGCAAAGTGTCAATTCTATACATAGTGCCCTCAAGCTTTGCCCAGAATTCCCTTTGGTACAGGGGGCTCTTGTTTTGAGGACAATATATACTTTCTGGGGAAGAGAAAGGGGCATTACATAATAATTTTTGCAGCTTGGCAGACCTGCAAAAGATGCAAGACTTCAGTTTTTACATTCAGTTCTTTAAAGGGCATTATACTTCTGTTTGCTGACTTTCTGATAGTGGAGATCTACCTGTACAGGACTTTGAGAACACTGAATCTACCAAGTGAAAAAATGTTAACTGCCTGACCCTTGATGTGTATAGAGTACCTCCAAGTAGTAGAGGTACACAGATTAAAAGTCAGAAATATTATGAATATGCTCTCAAGAAGCACTCTGCCCTTGTTGATATATATATAATATGAACTGTCCAGCTGTTCCTCTACAGATAGGCTGAGGAAGGGTGATAGAAGAAGAAAAATGCTGCTGAGTGAAATGCCAGACCTCTTTTAGGCTGCATAGAGCATCAAGATAGGGGACTGTGAGATTTTCCTGAAGGATTTTGATGTACAAGCTCAAATATTTCCTGTATGATATGGTACATGTGCATTAATACAGAGCAGTTACTTCCCCAAAAGGATCAGTTTGAACTTCAGGGTGGGACATGTTTCCATTGAAAATGATCACTTTAACAAGACAGCAGGAAATCTGGGCAGTGAGACAATTGTTACATTTTGCTGGGACTGGGGTAGTTGGAGTTGTGTGCTGTCCTGGATTTCCAAAAGAACCTTTGGAAAGCATTGAGTTACATTCAGGATCAGTGGGAGCAGTCAACCCCTTTCTTAGGGTGAGTTCTGACTTTCAAGAAGGCAGATCTATCTGAACTACAAAACTGCTTTTGCCTTCCCATGGAGTGATAAATGCTTCCAGTAAAAACTAAGATTAAACTTCTAGGCAATTACTGTCCTCTACAACTTGTCCAATACTGGCTAAGAAGCGAGGGGTGAGAGAGGGGATACTAAACTTCTGCCCTGCTGCCTCAGAAGGTGAAAAATCCTGCCAGATCCTTTTGACCGTCAAACTAAGAACTTTACAAAGGAATATAGGGCAAAGCCAGCATTATTTTCCTGTAGAGGCACTTCCTCCAAACAGCAGTGCTGCCTCTGGGTGGTATTAGTGTTTCCATTTTAACAGCAAAATAATAACTAAGTATACAGATTTGCCATAGACAAGATCTTATATCTTAGAATGGATACAGAGATTAGACTGAAATCATATTTGCAGTTGTTGTCCACCAGAGCATTGTTTGATAAATTGTATTGGTAGATAGTAATGAAAATTCTGTGCTGCTTGGTTTTGTTTTTTGTATTGATGCTTTTCATAATGTATTATGTACACCAATCAGTTTAGGACATTTTGTCAGCAAATGATATTAACTGCTAAAGCAGTTACATTCATTTTCTGTTTGTTTTTTTCTGTTTGTTTGTTTTGAAACGTAATGGACAAGGATTGCTGTTGACATTACTGCTGTGTGTGCTTGCACACTGGCTGTATGTGATAATCTTGGACATGTACCTGCTGCTGCTTTTCTTGTTCATGTTTGGGTTGTGTTGAAAGTAACAACATTAGACCTTGCTCTTAGGATTTCTTTCAATTTTTAGAACACCAAATCTACGGTTATGCAACAGACACATCAGTGCTTGCCTGCCTGTCATGCACAGGTCACCGTTCTGTTCATTCCCCTTCTACGTGTTTCATATTCACATCTCTTTTATTGCCTGTAAAAAATACCAATATTATGACTAATGTACTCTTTTCTAGCTCTAAGACTTGTCTACTACATAGCCTTTCTCATTTAAGGAGCAGGGCTTTAGGGCAAGAAGTATCTGTTGTGTTCGGTCTTCTGCAACTCTGATCCGTTTGGCAGAACCTGACAACATAATTATTTCACTCTTAATTTAATCTTAAGACTTTTAACATCTGTATAACAAATTCTTACCCTAGAGCACTCACAGTTTACACTTACTGAATTAGCAGAAAGTCCACTTTCCCTGGCCTCGGTGTTGAAGGGCACTGAAAATTCATTTTGCTGGATTAAATTCCCATTTACCTGCTTTAGTAGTTGGGGAAAGGGTGTGTTACAGCTTGCTGAATCTGGGTGAGGCAGGTTGTTTGCTAATGAATTCAAAGATTGGATAAAGAGTACAATAGAGGAGGATTAGGAAAGGGTTATGAACTCCAATTCTAGAGCGTTACTCTTTGTTTCATTTTGCAAGGCAAAAACTGCACTGTGATCTTGTCTGATGTGATTAACATGAAGAGCCAAGAAAACTTACCTGATTAGAATAACTAAGTAATATTGCCAAGCTTGTATTCCCAGAAGGTAGGAAAAAAGGGGCCATATGAGTTTCTGAGTTATGGAAAACACTGAGAAAATGGATGTTAAAATGTGCTTTAGGCAGTTTGCTCAACAATACATCAGGGAAACTTCCAAGTCTACATAGCGATTACCCGATCGCTGAACATATTATTTAATTGTAGAACCACTTATATTCCATCTGTATTTCTCAAACCCAATCTTTCCAGATGTCTCAGACCAGTTTTATAGGCACCAGACACATTAGGGAACAAAAGGCTTTCCAATATATACTCATATTATCAAACATAGTCGCTAACTCTCACCAATATCAAATGTGCATCACATGTTAAATCCACGTTCCAATATTGAATCCTTTTGTCAGCAGTTTGTGACTTTCATAACTCACTTTAATTCTTCAGAGGTCTCAAATATTGTCAGTTTCTAGAGTTTAATAGTCAAAGCTGTCAAGCACACAAAATGTTTTCAAACAAAGTGATCTCTGAAGGGTTCAACGTAATTATTTTTCACATGTTTTAATGAAAATGGCTTCACAGTTCTACGTTTCCTTTCTCTAACTGAGTCACTCTGAATCATGCTGTTGTGGGGGAGTCTGCCTGGGAATCTGGACGAGAATTACTTTTCAGCATGGGCTGGGGGATGGTGGCAGGAGGATGTCCCTTCCTCGAACTTTCACAGATAAGAGAGGAATCCGTGAATCCTACTCACTGTGCTTGGCCCAAACCACGTTAGCTCTTTGAGAAGCAGGTTCAAGCATACAGACAGTCTCCCCCAATTTCTGCTGATTCTCTTTCAGAGCCATTTAGAAACTTCAAAGTCCTGAAGGCTGCAGCCAGTACTGTCACAGCTGCAATTTTACCTGCAACTCATCAACTTCACGAAGCAAAGTATATATCAGCATTTTTTTTTTCCTTTTTGCTCTGAAAAATTTTTTGCATTTTACTCTTCTACAGCTGTTGTGCTGAGATAGATTTAAACTTTATCTTGTAAACAGCTTTCCCCGACCTCTCCGTACCCCCTACCATGCATACACAAAGAGCACATAACAGTTAGATATTTGTATGCAATTTGGAAGAGCCAAGATAAACCCCAAAGAAGGAAATGCTGAAACAATCATAAATAATGTTGTTGTTTGCAAGGGGAGAAGGAAACTCCATGAACCTAGTGTTGGAATATGATACTGGGTCAGTAAATGACATGAAACAGATGTATGTATTTATGGGAACGGTATACAGGAGATTAAAAGCTATTGAAATACCTGTTGAAGAAATAGATTCAAACACAGTGGGCTCTGAAATCTCCTGTGTAATCTTCCTAGGCATTTTGTTCCGTTTCTAAAACGGAGCACTGTGAATTAAAGCTCAATAATTTTTATCCTGAAATTTCCATGAGCTTTTGCAATTTTCTCTCTCCTCTGCCTCAGCATCCTGACTCACATATGTTTGTGGTACCCCAGTTATCACAGGGGAAACACTTTTTGAAATTCTTATATCATCGAGTTAATTTATGTTGCTCAATAAATCATAAATGAATCATGTACTTCCTCCCACTAGGAGTGTGTTTCATTATTTTAGTTCTTTATTTTCCTTTGACACTGTATTAAAGTACGTAAAAGGGGGATAGAAGAAAAGTTCTGCAATAGTCACCCTGTGAAATGGGAGTGGAGAAATGATAGGAAAAGAGATTATTGAAAGGGCAAATGGTTTGTCTTCCCTACCCAACTCTCCTGGCCCCCTACAAGGTGCTGGAATTCATAAGCCAAAGATTTAAGATACTCTGTTGTGGGTGCTTGTGTGGTTTTTTGCAGTCATGCAAACAATCTTTTATGTTGCAAACGGTGTGGTTAAAATGACCGGTCTGGTGACACAGGGTAGTGACAGTTTGGCAAATTACAAGGGCTTGAGAAGAGCCTTACTGAATTCAGGCAGCCCAAGATTACACATATATAAATAAAATATGTGCTTTGCTGGATTAGGGCCTAATTAAAGATTGTTAGGTTGTTCAAACTTGTGCATATCAGCTCAGTCTGTTTATTTTTCCATGTTTCCAATATTTTTGGAACTTTTTGCCCTGATATCAAACATGTGCAAGCTGCAAATTAACTTCCGTGCTCTGTCTACAACTCTGAAGATTTTAAGTGTATTGAAAATGCAATCTAAACCAGTCATGACTTTCTTCCCCTTTCTTGGTTTATCTCAGAGATTGGCAGTCAGAAATTTCACAAGTACAGCCAAGAGAAGACGTTGAAGTGGTTAAAGAAAAAGGTATCACGTTTCTATTTTGCTTTCTAAATTGCTTTATGTTTAAATGGAAAATGCAGATTACCTTGTCCGTATCTGTATTTGAGCCATGTGGCATCCCTCAGTTAAAGTACATGTCCTGTGCAAGAAGGAGAGACAGCACACTGCAGTTGTTGCATGCAGGAGGGGGATGAGGTATTAGGGAAATGGCAGGTTTGCTACATTTCTCATTTTGATGGGGCTGGTGTGAAAGGGATTTGAAGTGAGGAGGCAGGAGAAGAAGCTGAAGTTGAGTTTATTGCTGTGCTGTTGGCTTTGCACGAAGTGAGAGGCTTATTTCTTGCCTTATCTGCTTTGACAATAGGCTAGAGGTAGGGTTAAAGTGTTTCTTCTTGCAGCTTTTAAATTCTGCTGTGCCCTAAAGCTGGACAGATAGTCCAGCTTGGGTTTGTGCTGTAAATGTGATCCCTCCTGAAGTCTTGGCAGAGACTTTCATAACGGTCCTGATATGGTTGCTTCTATCCTAATCCCACCACACTCTTCAAGAAGTCAGTACAGTATGCTGAAAAGAAATAACTCGTATGACTGAGTTCAGTGTTGTCTGTGTTTTGGTGTAAAGAAGGTGTATCTAATTTTACACGTAGACGTGCCTCTACTATGATGCTACGAGCAGAAAATCTGGTCTGCTTTCTGCACCGATGAAGCTGGGGGTTATCTCCTTTCCAATGAATGCCTGAATGTTTGAGCAGGCGCCGATTTGTGTTGAAAATTTCTTTGCCAGTGATCTCTGCATTAGGTACAGTATCACAGTGCCCTGCAATGTTCTTAATCTTTGATTTCCGTCAGGGCTGCCTTTGCAATCCAACTGGGTTGAGGCATTCTCTGTTCTTCCAGCAGGTGTATTTCTCACCTGGATAAGGGTGGCTGTTACATCTGAAAAGCTCATCGCATCTTAGGGTGCCACAAAAGTGGTGCTGTGTTGCCAAGGCAACACGTTCAAAAACGGGCTAGCTTTGTTGCGTTTTTGAGCTCATATGCTAGTCATTACAAATGTATATTAAATTTCACCACAGTCCATAACTTGAGTGTTTTATATGCTTGAAACAAAATTACAAGAGCTTTGTCACTGCATTAACATGTGCATAACAACACTGATATAGACATTTCTTTCTGTGGTTTCCTATAGGTCAATCAAACAGTGAAAGCACTTAAAAGCAACAATATATCTGTAGGTGAAAGGGTACAGGCACCTACATTTATCAGCGGTAAACAGATCACAGATGCTGAAGAAGGTAAGAAAACTAACCATTGTTAAGCGCTGTAATGAATTCAGTTTTTGTGAAACCGCATACCTGCAGATAAAATACATGATTAGCATCTAAAATGGACTGAAAGTGGTCTCTGCTGTAAATGTATTCCTTGCACAGAAAAATCCATACATGTTGTGGCTGTGTCTCTTGAAGTTTCTTGAGTTCTTTGGTATCTTTGTTAGGGGCTCCTTGACATTAGATCACAACTGGGGTTCTTTTGGCTTCTCCTTAGTTTACAGAGAAGATGTTTTCTCAGTGAAATATATGCTGAAGTGCTTTACTGAACTGAGACCATACATAATATGTATGAGTATCCACACAATAAAAGCCTCTGTATTAGAAAAGTCTATTTTTTTTTATTAGTATGCAAATGCTGTTGATAGAAGTCTCTTAGAAGAGAAAGGATGGTAGGAAGGCACAGTCATAGACCAAAAACATTGCTTTATGTGACAAATGGACAGAATAGATGTGTACACTTACTCAGGGCAAAAACTTCAGCAGTGTATGCATATTAAATCTCTCTGAAAGTGACAGTGCTGATACCAAAAAGTCTGGAGTGATCCTGCTTGCTTCTAGTCACCTTTTTGCTGGGGAGGGCAGCATCCTGAATGTCACTGGGATATGAAGTTGTGTAGAGAAACCTGAAAACGGACACTAATGGAAATTAAGAAAGGTTCAGAACAAAATGAACAAAGGCAAATTGTTTCTGATTACTAAGACTTTCAGAAGTCTGCATGCCATTGAAAAATAAGGAAAACAAAGCAACTTGCTGACGAAGTGGAAAATGAGTTACCAAGTAATGATATCAAAGGAAACAACATAAATGAGATTTAAGAGGCAGCTCGACAGTTTTATAGAACAGGGATTGTAATATATGGTTTTTAAAGGGAGACAAAGCTGCAAAATTTGTAAGTTACTTTAACTTTACAGTAGCTTTTTACCCTTTTTCCCTACCCCTACTTCTTTAAAGAAACGGAAAATTGTCCTGTCCTGACAGTGACAGTCTTGACTATGCCTAAATACTTTATCTCTGAAATGAGCAATCAAATAGCTAATCTGTAGTGCTTTTTCCACCTTCCTGCTTACTTACAAAAACAGGCATATATTTCTCTTTTTAGATGTATAGATTTAAAAGAGCAGCATTCGAGTAGGGAATATCAGGGTTTAAAAATAGGTAAGTTTCGGAGGCAGTCCCGCTGTATACAGCAAGGTGAATGACAGGAAGTCAAATGGACCTTACTCAACACTTACTTTTAATAAGCCTAATTTTCTTGTCTGATCCTTTCACTGCCATGACAGTGCAATTTATTTTGGTAGAGAATTTCTTCTTGCATAACAGTATTATGAAATACCAGTACCTCACAAATAGATGGGTATTGTAGTTAGCTTTTACAGATGTTGTAGGATATAATGGGTGCAAATGGGAAAGGAGGGAAGATTCAACATATGAAACCTGAATATTTCACTAGGAAGACAAAGAAGGGAGGTGTACAACTATTCCTGGTGTCTGACAGGAGGTTAATGACAAAGTAAGGCTAAGGTGAGGCAAACAGTGGTATTTTAAAATTGGTAAAGGAAATCAGTGAAGATTCCTTCGGGGCAGAAATGCAAAGAAAATTGATTTTGTATTTGGGTTATAATAGCAGTTGATTTGGCCTCACCATTCAGTGTCATAATGCAAAGAGTGAAATGACGGAAATATTTTTCTTAAGAGATAAATTGGTCATGCTAAGTGCAAAGGTGAAGTTGTCTTGGATTTAAATTATTTATTCTTCTCTTCTTCTCTCCTGACCCTAAAATGGGCTTAGGGAGTGACAAAGACTTGATGAATTGAGGCAGTGGAGGGAAGAGAAGTGCAGACAGGAGATACTGTGATTTTGATGCTAGTCCGATCAAAATGCATATGCTGGTGTCAGTTGGTTAATGCTTTCTGCTTCAGTGCCAATTTGCGTTGGGCTTTTTAGATATTCAAAAAAAGGAGGAAACTCTCTGTTGCAGAAAAAAAAAGCTCTTCACTACCCCGAGGCCAGTTTACCATGTACCTCTTAACTCTCTTAGTGTGTAGTCATACAAAAAGATAGAGCTGGCCTATTGTAGATGGAGTTTGGAGGTGAGATTTTAGCTTAATGTGTGTCTGGCAAATACTTCCTGTGCATGGCTAAAGTTACTCCCTAGCAGCCCCAACAACAGCAAGTCTGAAAGTTCCAGCCCGTGATCAGTAAGTGTGAGTGTAGAACGTGACCGGAAAAGATCTGGTTTAGGACTTCATGTTATAAAAGGGTCACTTTTTTTTCCCATCTCTCAGAAAAAACATTTATAGCAGGAGTGCCCTGTACTGAAAACAGCTTCTAGTAGTTCATATTTCCACAGATAATTATCCTGTCTTGCCAGTGATGTTTAGATAGGCCTTGGCATTTTCCGTAAAGTACTGAAATTAAGTACAAGACTTTGAAATAGACTCATTGTCTCATCTAATTGTTTTCAGTTGAAGCCAGAAAATGTACTTTAGTACTGAAGCGCTTGCCAAATAATTGTAAGATCCAGATGCTTTAAAATTAATGATTGCATGTTCTGTTGAGTCAGCTTTTTACTTTTGCAGGTTTTTAAAATTTAATTTATTCGGAAAAATACATGATATCTAGTATTCTCAGAAAGTGAACAGCTTTTGTAAAGTACATAGAGCAGATATTAATAACATGTGCTGACAAAGTGAGTGTAGTAAGTCTTTACTTTTTAAATAAACCTACAAGTGTCATGTAACATAAACTACTCAACACAGAGAACCATCACAGTGTATCCATTAGAAGTCTCTTACTATTAGTTCAACCTTATGATTTATGGTAGTGCATACAACATGGCTAAGACAGCATGACTTTATAATGTGAATGTTCTTTTTCTTCTCCTTTTCATTCCCTGTCCTGTTCCTGGAGACTATGTACGGTATGCCCACGGGTTAATATCAGAATATATTCCTGAAGATCTGAGTAAGGAGCTGTCAAAATACTTAGGGTAAGTATTGTTCCAGCTAGGTGCTAGTTTTATGTGGCATGCATTAATATCCTTTTGGTCATTTCTATTGAATGCTGGTGTTTGGTCATCAAAATTACAGTGAATAATACAATTTTCCCCATTCACTCAGTGATGTGGGGTTTGAGTTCACATATGTAACCCATGCTAGGTTATACTTAAATCTGTAAGGTGAGAGCGTCCTCATGCTGGTGTTCTCGTCCAGCAGCAGAGATTGTTTGGGGCATCACTGGCACCCTGTACTTTCCCCTCTGTTCAGTTCTGTTCATTGTGTTCTGTTGTTGTGGCCTACAGAAGTGCACAGTGTACACCTCAGAAGTCCCCTATCTTATGAGTTTGATTGCAGAGGTGTTATGTGCTTTGTAAAATCATCTTACTAATAAAGCCAAAGTTTTCAAAGTAATGTGGGTTTCTCCTGTTAGGGCTGCCCAATCTAAGATTTTTTATTATTTTTTTTTTAAGAGCCCATGTTTCTTCATGGTGCCTGGCTCTTTTTCAGTTGTCTAAGTCAGAAATACAGGCAAGATCCATGAGCCACTTTTTTTGCAAACATATGCCATGTGTGAGCAGCTGATACACAAAGCAACCTTTGTGGGAAAGGAATTAAAATTTGGGTCATTCAGCTGTCTAAATTTATAACATAAAGTTTTTTGTTCTGCAGCCTCCCAGAACTTACAGGCCCTTCACCAGAGCCACCATTGAAGGTAGGAGAGCATTAAAGAGAACGATATTAAAAGAAATAGTATGTTGTAAGCTAGTTTCTCTGAATTGTTATTAAAACTGAACTAGGCCAAGCACTGGGTGCAATACAATGAGTAAATTGGCCTTGTAAAAACACAGTCTGAAATAACACGAGAACATTACCAGGTACTTTTATATTTTATGTTAAGCAATATTTTGGTTGGTTTTGTTGTTTAAAAAAGGGGAGGGAAAGAGACTTATTTTATGTTTTTGGTCAGCAGTCTTCTCCTTTGTGTTTTGCTCATTTAGTTTTATTGAGGTTGATGGGACGCTATGACCTCATAGGTTTTCTTTCATATGTAATTTATGAGGACCCTGAAAGGGACCTCCTGGGTCATGGATTCCCAGACAACCATGTTGGATAATCTCTCCTACACTGACCATTCTCCACTGTAAGTCTCATTAGGATTTTTTGTTTCCATTACTTCTCTTGGAAGACTGTTGTATAACCTCATTCCTCTGATGCTCAGAAACCTTCCTGTAAATTCCACCTTGAATTTATTCGTGGCCAATTTATTCCCTTGTGGTTTTGTGCTAACATTATCATTGTTTGTTTTAATTGAAATGGCTCTTTTCCCTCCCTAACATAAGTTCTCTCAGCGTGTAAAGGGAAAATATATATCCTTCTGTTTTCATTTTGTGAAGCCAAACTTGCTTGTGGAAGATGGGTTCTCCATTCTGTTATCATTGTGGGAACATTTCTTTGCACCTGTTCCAAGATGAACTCAATTGTCTGAAAACAGGTGACCAGGATCAGATATAATTTTTCATGGTAACATCTTTACCAATACAATGTGATGGCATTAATCCCTTCTGGTCTTAACTAGAAGGGATTAACTTTAACTTTATCTCATAACTTTAACTTTTAACTCTTAACTTTATCTCATTATATTAAGATATACCATTTGCCTCTCTTACCGGGTGATGTAGCTGATAGTCATGCAGTGAACAGTTAAGACACACAGGTCTTTTTTTCTACACTACACTGAAATTCATGCAGGATGTTGCTGTATACACGACCATACACGTCTGTACATTTCATCTGTTTATAATGTTTCCAGTCTTGAAGGCTCTTCTGCTTTTCCTTCACAGTGTTACAAGCTCTTTAGGTATTCATAATGCTACACAGTGGTCTACATTCACTGAACGTTAGCATGCTGTTATCTTTAATTAACAATTAACGAACATTTTGAATAGGTATTGTTCATGGCACTCCACTTGTGATATTCATCCATCCCTATGCCATCCCTTTCTGCATTACTTGCCTTTGTTTCCCTTTCACACAGTTTCTTACATACCTTAAAATTCTTATGCAATCTTCATCTTTCATTTCCGTTGCTTAAGTGGCACCACATCAAATCCTCTGGCAATCCCTTACATTTTCTGTCACCAGAAACTGTATTATCTTTGTGGAAAAAAAGAAGTCAGTAGGTATTGCCTACATTTAGTTCTCATTTACTCCATGTCTTTAATTATTCTTCCTTCTTTCACACACCCACAGCTTCCATTCTGCTGAAGCCTACTCTAACTTTTTCTTCCTCCTCACAAATAGATGGGTGTTTTGCTACTCTGTGGCAATGTGGTCCCTATCTAGTAGAATGGTTGCCAGGTTTTGCTCCTGGACTTGTGATTTTCTGAGGCAGTCTCCCAACAGTGTCAGCATATTGAGTTTTACTTCTATTTTGAACAGAGTGATTTCTTTTCTCTTCATCTGAATTTAACCCTGAATTTAACCTCTTCATCTTCAGTGAAAACAATTTATTGAGGCAAAGGATTTATTCCATTTTAGGGCTAGACCTAGATTAGCTTTAATATCTATTCATTTGTAGCAGCCTTGCTTTTTAGATTCCATTTTTGCTTCTGTGGCTAAACAACCTTCTACTATTTGTTTTAATTTCCTTTCCAAGGTCTAACTCAGCTTGACTTTTTGGCAGCTCTCCCTTTATCCCTGTATTACCTGACGCCTAAAACAAATATCTTTTCTTTATGCTTTTTTTGCCCTGTTCATTTTAGATTTTTGCTTACTACTACTATCTTTTTACTTGAGGGGGATGGAAAATGTGTGCATCTGTGTGAGTGTGTAGGGGGGGGAGTATTCATCTAGTTCAGTTTGAGAAGCTCTTTCCTTCAAAATTCTTCACTTTGTTAAGGTAAGAGATCCAAAATTATGTATTTCATCTTTTTCTTTTGCATTCCAAGAGTCTTCCCCTCACGCATCAAGCCCTTTGCTTTGGCTTTTGAAAAGAAGGCAAACAGTTTGCAAAGTTTGCCCCTGTGGGATCAAGAGCCTCACTTCTGATTTTCCTTTTCATTTAATTTAAACTGAGGCACCCTGTGTCTACTGAAACTAGGTTACTTACTACAATGACCTTTCCTGCAAAGTCCCTGCTACTTACCGAAACACAGTCTAAAATAACCTCATTTCTGGCCGGTTCAGTGACTGTTTTGTTAAGCCGTATGTCAGCTAGCACATGCAGGAATAATTGGGCCCTACTGTTATTAATAGCATTTGTTCTCCAATGTATATCCATGGATATAAGTTATTTCCATGTGGTTGGACAGTTGTTCTGGCTGCACAGTTACTTGGCCCTTTGATTCTGTTAAGAATTATCTTTATGTATTGTAAGAAATATTAAACACACATCAGGAGCCAACTGATATTCATTAGCTGTATAAGCATGTTACAACAACTATATTAAACTACATGTGATGTACATTACATATTCTGTATGAATAGCTTTTATACTATTGGGATAGTTCTGAGGCTCTATTTTTAAAAATAGTTTTATTTCAGCAGTTGGGTTACAGAGGAAACGAGGCTTAGAACCGTTCAGTTGCTGGGCAGTGAAATCTTACTGAGTATACCATTAATTTTCAGAGCACTGACCAAGGTGTGCATGATGTGTCTGAGTTTAAGTCTTTGCAGCTTGGGTGCTTAAATCTCTCCTTTATCTCACACCCTCAGAGGAGCAAGGCAGACTTGTACACTAAATTCTGGAGTCTCCTTTAGACCATACTTACTCACTTTGTAATTTCTTACTTGCTTTGCATTGAGGTTTCTCTTTATGAGGACAAGGTATATCGACAGACACAGTATATGATTTTTGCAAATAAGGGTCTAACATACATTTCTTCATATAGCAAAGTAATTACATGTTTAGAAATTGTGTTAAATTCTGAAGGGAGAAGAGATTTAGAAACATCAATGCTTGACAGAAAAGCTATGACAGATTCTCTCTTGTAATATCAAGTAGACTGGGTGCAGTCTGGACGTTGTGGTTTAATGATTAAATCAAAAAGATGTTATCTGTATTAATTGTAAGCCGTTGATCTTGTGTTGTAATCATTATACTGTCCAGTTCGTCAGCATAGGCAAGTCTGGCCATGGGCAGACGATAACAGCTTCCAAAGGATATGTAGGCTCTGCTACAACTGAACAGCAAATGCTTTGCCGAAATGCAAACATTTTATTGTAAGTTTTAAAAACTTGTTTATCAGATTCCAAAAAGAGGAGAATAGTCATTATTCATTACATTGTCATTTGAAAATGTAATCACAGCTCAGTAAACAGCCTCCCAGAGAGACTGATCCAGATCCCATTGAAATCAGAAGAGAAGGCTGCTGTTGGATCTGGTTCTAAGAGCTGAGAAATCTAAGCTGCAGACCTGGCTTCTGTGCCAGAAGGGAGGGGGGAGGGAGGGAGATCACAAGCACCATAAACAAAATGAATAAAACAGGATCTTAAAATGGTACGGTACCATCCAAGTTGCTTGCAAAATCACTCTCTTTGGCACAAGACCTGGGAAGGCCACAGCTTAGATTTCACAGGATATTAAGGACAGGGTAGTAATATCAGATATATAATAATAATAAAAATACAGTGTTGTAAAATACCATATACTTTTTTTCCCTTTTGGAAGCATACCAGAAAGTTTTCACCTTTAAACTAAACACATGCTCACAGTTTATGGAAAGAAATATTCATTCTTACAGCCTGATCATGTGAAGTGCTGAGGACTCTTAACTCCCATTATTTCTGAGTTTAGAAAGCACCCAGCACAAGCACAGTCAAGCTTCTCAATGTACTGTTGGATTCAAGTGCTGATGCAGCCAGCAGAGCTATGTCAGTGTTTCATCGTGGCCAAACTGTAGAAACTAATCACTCCTAGAGGTTGTGCACAAACAGATAACAGACCTGATGACGATCCACTCGTGCTGGCAGATAGCAGTAACGCTGGAGTTGCTGGTACTTCACAGTTCCATGAGTCTGTGGGGACCAGTGTCTGGGTTCCCTGGCTGCTAGACAATTAACTTCCAACAGCTGCTCCATAAAGGTTCTCTAAATATTTAGACTCCGACACCACAGACACAATCATGGAAATTAAAAACTGGATTAAAGTGATTCCTGTAAAGTCATTCTTCAGAAAGGCTAGGGAGAAGAAAATGCTTCCTACGGCATTGAATGATCTCTTCTGAATACTTTAGGGATGGTATATAATCATGTGTAAAGAAGACAATTACAAAACGAAACCTTTCCACTGTTACTGCAGATTCCTCTGTTCATTGCCAGTCCTGTTTTGGTGCTATGGTTACTTTATAAAGCCAGAGCTTTAAACTTCCATGTGTGTACACATAAAAGTGGTTGACAGAGAAACTTCATCACTCTAACATTTCAGAAAAGGAAATTATCAGATGTCCCTGTGGAAGCAGAAGAAGACTATACTAAGTTTAACAGCAGCAATCTGAAAAACAAAAAGGTAAGCCAGCCTTGCACTCATGCATGTTTTGTTAAAGCATAGATTAAAACTTAACATTAGCACAGAGTCCCTTTTACTCTCCTCCAAAACACACAAGAAGAGGGGGAAAAAAAAAACAGCCAAATGGCAGATCTCTGCAGTTGTATCATCTTGAACTTTCAGGTTTAATTTGATTTTGATGGTCTTCATGTCCCGTTCTGAACTCTTCTAAACCGTTACTGTTTGACTGTATTTTATTGGTGAACACGCCAGTGAACCTTGCAGACTTTGACACATTAAGATTCTCAGATAATGTTTGCAAAGCTCTTTGAGAACTTCAGATGAGAAATCCTACGCCTGAGTGATAGCAACCTGATAACTTTTGGTTATCTGAAAAAGAAACAATGATGGCAACATGCACTTAAATTCCAAGGGCTGCTGAGACAGGCTGTATTTTTACCTAGACATATTGCTTGTGCGCTTATTTATGTCAATTTAATACAGTTAAATCAACACTGAGCTTGCTGACTGCCAGCTCCAACACAAGTTTGGAGGCCAATTCAAATCTGAGTCCAGTGGTGCTTGCCACTGTACCGTTCCTAGGAGAGCAGCAGAGATGTGAAAAATAGATTGTCTGTGTGTGCCAAGCTTGTGAGGCTTGCACTGGGTTGTTTCTCTGAGCATTGAAAGAAAATGAATCTTTCTGCAGTCCATTGGGAACTAAAAAGGCCCTCTGTTCTGGTCTTTGACCTTCAGACTAATGCTGACTACTCTTTATCCTTTTGCAAAGAGAAGCAGCTGGTGACAGATAGATTCCTTCTTTCCCTAGCACCCCCCAGAATTGTTCATATCTGGGACACACACTTGTTTTGAACTTAGAGGATTGCCCCCTAAGTGGAGGTAATAAATAGTGTAAAATCTGCATGTTTTCCCCTCTCTCTATTATGTACACATAGGTTTTGAACTGAGCATAAAGATAGAAACAGACCGAGGAGAGATAATTCCTTTTAATGCTAAATATGATTTACTTCTAAAATAACGAAGCACATTGATGAGAGAATCTGGGAAAGAAAAGATAGCTCTTGGACTCCGTACAGTATACTACTCTTTTTTTTTTTTTTAATAACTTTGGCAGTGTTTTTGTTTGTACAGTAACACAGACAGTCATACTGCAGTTGCATATCTCCATCCTGTCCGCAACCTTCTAGCTGATCCCAAGTAGTGTAATTGTGAAGTCCTGTAGACTGAGAAATATCATAAAGAAAGGTCAACGCAAAGTTTTCTTAATAGGTAAACCAGCTAGAGATTTAAAACATAACATTTTTAAAATGTAAGAAAGAAAAGAGGTCAGCTCTATAAAACGTGGCTCATAAAATGTGTTTTAGGTGTAAAAGTCTGGGAAGTTGTCCCAGTGGCCTCAAAGTGCTTTGCAAATGTTGGTCACCTTCTTCATTCTTAGCTCTTCCATCTCTTTTCCCTTTATTTCACTGCACATAGAGACTTTGATAATAAATCAGTGTGAATTATTCATCATCTGTAATGCAAGGCTGTAATTCAGCCTGCTGACAGCATAATCATGAGATTGAGTCGGAGGGTACAGTATGCATCTGTTATATTGCATGCATTATTCCTCTTAATGTACACTCAGGGATTATCCCAAAGTAAACGTTTGAGTTGGGATATCTCATTCTGCAGAAGGCAAAGATGTTTCACCTCCTTGTCTTTGTAATTGATTCTCTGTCTTTGTCTGAGGTTAAGCAATTTATGACAAGTATTTTTCTGATTGAATAATCTCAAATTTGTTTTGTAAGGTTTTTCCCCTACAATTTAAAGCCTGCATAAAATTATCTTTCCTGCTGTATACTAAAAAAGCGATTCAGCTTCTTGTTTGACTTCTGTATTTAGAAATTTGTAGCTTATACTTCCCTCCTACAAAAATGCTTTTTAACTTGTTCTACCTCGCATTTCATTTACAGGCAAACAGCAAGATGACTGCAGCTCAGAAGGCTCTGGCCAAAGTTGATAAGAGTGGAATGAAATCCATTTCTTCTTTCTTTAGCTCCAAACCTAAAGCATCAAAATAAAGACTCGCTCTTGGAAAAGTTTTATATGGTGTTTATTTTTACATTAAGCTAAAAACGTCTCTTGGAGTTTTTTTTGTTACGTATATATGCAGGGCATGTTCATGTTCACGGTGTAGTGCGATGAAGAAATCTGCAAGCTAGTGTGGGACAGAGTTGTTGTCTCAGTGGGGCAAGGTAGTACCATGGAGAAATTCCAGCCTGGAATTAGCACATAGCATACAGCACAGCTGTATGTACTGCCTTGCCTTCTAGAGCAAGCTCAGTCAAGAACACGGCAGAGTTTTCTCCATTGCACTCCATTGTGGGCTGGAAACATGCCCTCTCCTGTGATAAGTTTTAAAGGAGAGGTTTTTTGTTCATTAGGAGCATTATTTTTTGAGACTCTCTGGAGGTTTTTACTCAATATGACACCAGAATAGGATGGCATCATCAGATTTTTATGTTGACCCAAATCTTAAGTGCTGAGATAAGCGCTGCAATTTATTGAGGCAAAGATATTGTGTCTATATTCAGATTTTGGTTGTTTTGAAGATGCTAGAAACAAATTGCAATAAATGTCAACATCCATGTGATGCAATAAAGTACTTTATGTAACAAATTTGTGCTTGTGGTGTTTGCTGTATGTTTCAAGAATTGGGTTAGGCTTCAGGATATTTCTTGTGGGCTTTTGGTATTTTCCTGTGTATAAATATTAATCCTTGAAGAATTACAACAGCATTTCAGGCTTAAATGATAAATCTCTTAACACATAGCAATATAGAATTATTTTCTGTTCAGTTCCAAGGTCAGTATGTCCTTACCAAAATAATTAGTGAAAGATTTATTTAAAGACAAAAGTGGGGGTTAAAAAAAAGTCTACGTGGAGCTGGATGTTTAATTCAAAAGCTTAACTCGGAGTGTCTTAGGTAAGGCTTAGCATTATGAAGACACGCACAAAGTTTGTCTATTGCTTAAAACATACAACTCACTCTTGGGTGTGTTCTTTCCCTATTAGAGAGTATTCCCATATATCCAGAGGTAAACAGCTATCTGCTGTATTGCAGTTTCCCTGATCACAGAATTGAGTTACTGGGATCAATTGTGTAGACCCAGCCAGTCCTGCACAATACTAACGTCTGATTTCCTCCAGGAGTTCTTGCACCAAGCCATTACTCTGGTTGAGCTACAATGTTTTAGAAAGGGAATCTTAAAATACATCATTCTTTGCTACTTAAGCTCAGTGGAGAACCCGCCTTGTATCCCTTGATACTGGGGACTTTCAGTGAAACTGGGAGTTGACTCATTTTTGGTAACTAGGCCATTGTTCCACTTCAAGCTGACTTGCTTTTTGTTTGAATCCTTTGCACTGCAGTATTGTCTGTTAGGTTAAAGAGCTCCGTGGCATTTTTTCCAAACAGAAATGAATGAAAAACCGTGCTGTGTCTTGTACAAAAAAAAACTGCTTTTTTTGCAATCGCAGTTTTGGGGGGTCTGTATGCCTTTCAAAGCAGTGTTTTTTCAAAGTTATATTTGTAAATGGAGAAGTCGGTACGGTTAGAATTCCAGATAAAGGAAAATACATGGAAATCTATGGAATTATCTCTGATTACAGAAGTACTTATTTCACAAATGTGGGTGCCTTCCCAATGAAACTGGACTGAGATGAGAACAAATACAGAGTCAATGCTTCCGGTTTTAAAAACATTTGTTGAAGTGGTTTATCCAGACCCAAAATTGTGTTCCTTGGGAGAAATGCTTTTCAGACATTTTGCAGAATGAATAGTGTCTTCCTTATCTTTGGAAGTCAGTCCATAGTATTAGGGTTTGAATATGTGATTCAGATGCAGACACTTTGTTGATTTTTCAGTGAGAATCATTCTCCCAAGTCATTTGGTGCATTAATAAAATTCCATTAGTGATTGTAAACTTTCTAAAACAATATAAGAGGTAGAGAATGGTAGGGGACGGAAAAAAAATGGGAATTGCTATGTAGGGCCATGGAGAAATTCCTGCTACACCACACTGCCTTGCAGTTCAGCTCTCTTGAGCAGAATTTCAGCAGTCCTGTCAATCGAGTTTCCTGTTCTGATATTAATTCTGAGACAAGATTAAAAAGTAATAGAAGGCATCATGACAATTTTGATGTGCGCTGCCTTTGGGATTGCCGTCTTGCTTTTTTTCCTACCTTACTTGTCTGGGCTATAAGTGAAGACCAGTGCTGTAGTAGCACTTACTGGCTTATCCAATAGGTTCTTGCTTTATCTAATAGGTTCTTCCTATGAGTTGGGAAGAATTAGCATCTGGTGAGCCCAGACAGAGGAATTGCAGTTGTAAACTAGAAGGGTTAGATTTTGAAAAGCACTCAAACTAACCCAGGAATTTCTTTGACAATCAAATATGCCCTCCAAGTTCATATCAGTAGAAGAATCCTTTTGAAAAACACCAAAGTGCAGGATAATGTAATGTAATAAAATGAAAAAAAAAGAGCAAACAGGCACTTACTGTCATGTCAATGGAGAAGTTTTGTGCAATAAGCAATGTCTTAGGGAGTGTTGTGGTAAATGAGGAATTGTGTATCTATTAACAGAAGGACAATTCCAAGCACTGGAAGGTGTTGGGAAAGCAAGCAAGCAAGCATGGGATGGACGTTTCAGTGGAAATCCAAGAGTGGGAGAGAGTTACAGTAGAAAGAGGAGCTGTGAGGTGGGACAGATGCATGTTTGTATCTCTTATTCTGAATGTTTTAATGTGCTACTTTCAGGTTTGGGGGTTTTAATAGTACAAAGGTTTTGTGAAATAAATTTTGGAATTTCATCTTTTCATTGACTGAACGGTTTTAGAACATTTCTTCAAAGAAAACAAACACGCAAACAAACAAAACCCCTATTTGGCCAGAATTTAGGGCAGAAGGACAATCCTGATACAGATGGGAGACTTTGTCATGGCTTCTGATTTGGGGTACCAATTTTTTTTTCTTTCTCTAGCCATGACTTTCACATCCGTCGCTGTGCATAAGGACTAGTCAGAGTTCTTCCTCTGTGCATGGATGCGTTGTGCTGTAGCATGTCACATCTCAGCCTCGGCTGTCAGCTACGCCGTAACTTACAACACCAGTAATTTTATTAGCAACTGTGTCTTTGGTTGAGCAGAAATTTGTGCATGACAAAAGAGCACGAGTCATTTCCAAGAGCCATTACAGCTTTCACGTGACAACAAAAACTCTTTTTTCCCTTTAGGAAAGAATGAAATACATTTAGTAACTTTGAAACTTCCTTAACATGTAGCTGTAAGACGTTATGAAGAACATGTGGTGCCAAATACATAAAACAATATTTCCTACCACAACGAGGATTTAAATATAGTTACTATGACTAGCCAGCAGTAGCGCTAGGTCATTATGAAGTGCTGCTTTGCTATTTCTTGCTTGGTTAGCTTAGCATGAGACAATATGCCAGCGCCGTTACAGAAATATGGTCTTACTTTATTTCTTTTTCAGGATTAGCATGCTGTCTTTACATGCTCATGTAAATAACTGATGAGTTGTGATGCATTTATAGTTGTTGTTTTCGGATTAAGCAGCTCTTAGAGTCCAACTCTTTTAAGACTTCACGTTGCAAACGGATTGACATCATTGAGCATGGAAAACTTCATACGGAAATACCAGCACTGACTTGAGGATATGTCAGGGTTGGACTTGCACATCATTTTCAGTCTTACATAGTAAAATTAGTTCTATTTGTAGAAGTGACAATTGGTGATACATTTTTTTTTTTAATTGGAAAAGGTGGCACAGTTGGCAGAATTTGCCTTCCGATCAGAAATTTAGAAGCGTTCAGTGATGCTTGCTTTCTCGTGTTCAGTTGCATCTGACTTTATGGTTTGTAGAGGGAAACTAAAAGCATGGGTGCTTATTTGAATAGATTAATGCTTACGCCTAGGGTTTTCTTTTCTTTTTAGATGCCTGCACAAAGACATCCAAAGAAGAAGTGAAAGGAGCATAAGGAGACTCGCTAATATTATTTTAACTTGCCATAATCTCGAAGCAGCTTTTAAAGGCTTTTTTTACGCACTTTCTGAAAATAAATGCTTGAAGTTAGACATGCCCTGTTCCAAGAAAAAGCAAATCTCAGCAGATTAACATTGTTAAATATGCGGTGTGTTAAACATACAGTGCTTCAAATTTTATAGCTTATACACTATTGGTCTATCGGGCCCTTCCAGGAAAGCACTTACGAGCATGCCTAATGTTAAGCACATGAGCAGTGTTCTTAAAGTCAGCAGTGTTCGTGTGGGTAAGTGCTTTGCTGGACCAGCGCCTAAAGTCCTGTTAGGTGCTGAGCATCCTGATCCATATCCAGCAAAGCACTTACGTCCATGCTTATCTTGAAGTGGAAGAGCCGGTCTAGCTAATATTTGTGCATTAGTGTTTGCCATAAAAACCTCTCTTGGCACAGTGACTCACATGCTTAAAATTAAGCACCTGCCTAAGTATTTTGCAAGGTCAGACCAACAGCATCCTTGAGCAAATCTTAAATAATTACTTGATTTTGTATTAATTTCCCTTTTTGTAGTCTTTGTTCTGTTTTTTAACAGAGCATATGATTTTATTGGCTATAATTTCAAGCTTTAGAAGCTAGGTAGCAAAATGTTTCATACAATTTTCTCCTTTCTTTTTCAAATTCTATCCAAATACTTTTTTGGACTAAAAGTCCATTTGTTCAGACTTAGAATCATCTAAAATGAAAAAAAAAAAAAAAAGTTAACTTTTTCTTAGGATATATCCTTTTTTTTTTTTTTGTAAGAACCATTTCACCGAGTTTGATTTGACTGGGTTTGACCAACCCTGACCTATTATCCAGAAGATGTCACCTAGCTCTGGCTTGTGAGTGGTCTGACTCTTGAAGTAAAGTAAACTTCAATAAAAATGTCAAAGTTCACATAAAACACGGAGGAAATGGATGCTAATGAGATTCTTAACTGGTCTGTCAGCTTCACAGACTAATGTTTTTAACTTAAATAACGGTTTAACAAACTACCAAACTTTAGCATGGAACTTTTTGTTACAGAATTTTTAAAGTGGTAATTCACAGGATTTTGAACATAATAAATGTGTACTTTTGTAAATTTTAACTATGAAGATGATTCACAGATACCTCAAATGGACAAAATGTTCTGTAAAATTTAAATGAAGCATTCCAGGTGAGAAATTAAAAGATGCTTTGCTTCCATACATTGTGCCTAACTTCAAGTCAAACAAGAACTTCCAGAAGTGTTTATTAGGACATTCCTGAAAATGAAATTCCAAGAGGAAGAGGCAATGGCATGTTCAACTTTCTTTTCAATTTAAATCAACTCTGTTTTGGAATATGAAAGATCCAAACGGTTAACCATTTAGAAATCGTGTATGATAGAAGATGGAATCCAAATACTTATTTTATAAATTTGCACTGAATTCTTTGCTTCCTTTTCACTTGTCTAGTTAAGCAAAGTGCACTGTGCCTTTTCAAGGAAAAAATGTTTATTTTAACATAATTTTCTAAGCAGTACTGCAAGAATATTATATGGGTTCAAGATGAGATTTCTATTTTTCTAGCTTCTTATATTCAAAAAATACTTGGTGTATAAATAAGATTGTATATTTCAGTAAACAGTTGTTAATTTTTTATTTCAGATTTTATTTTTACTTCATGTGCAAGAAAAAAAATAAATACCTTTGGAATAATTTGTTGATCGTTTCTTCATTAATCTCAGAGAGAAATACAAAGAGAAATGCAGTGCCATCAGACTACTAATTCCACTAGCCTCTGCAAGCTAGTCAGTAATTTTGAGTTGAAGGAAAAAAATGACTCCTGAGATAGACACGAATTTAAAGGTTCATTAAGAGAGATTCAGTGATGCTAATTGTTGAGGAGCCTACTGTACAGGTGCTCTAGTGAAAACCTATTGGTGTGTGCATACAGTTGCTGGCCCACATACTTTGGCCATTTTGCTTTTAATGACTGTGGTGTAAAGCCTCTGAGATAAGGAGGGGATAAGGAGAGAAGAGGTGAAGAGAATGATGTGATATTCATGTCATTTTTAACATATTTCACATTCTGTGCCATCACACACGTAGTACATAGGTGTTCTGTCGCTGATCTACACGGATAGCCTTTACTTTTTGGGGGGGTTGGAAGGTGGGGAGGTTGGGTGGGTTGGTTTGGTGGTGTTTTTACTTTGTAGAAGGCAGTTAATCAGACACAAAGAAAAAGCCATCCCTTTGCCAAAACATTATTCTGGTATCACCATGATGCTGTGCTCCGACACGAGGCTGCAGGGCTGGTAGGAGTCTTATTGCCATTTCATTTGTGAAATCCAGAGAACAAGGGGAAAGCAAAGGTAGAGGGGTTTTTGGTTTTGTTTTGGGTTTGGATTTGGTTTGTTGTGGTTTTTTTTTGGCAGTCAAGTATGTTTATTGGTACTAATAAGAGCAAAGTAAGAAGAGTAATAGTAATAGGGCTTATACCATCTCATAAGCCCATCACTCACCAGTACTTTTCTGTAGAAACAACTGTAGAAACAATTTCTGTAGAAACAACCGGTGCTAAGAACGAAGCACTAAGGCAGCTTCTATTTAGATGTGAAGTAGCATTTACGGTGCTAAGTCCAATAAAACCAACTCGCAAAGCACTGCAAAGACTGAAGAGCTGTCATAGCTCAAGTGTCTAAGCCTAGCTGCCTTGTTGCCTCTGTGTGCACAACTCTTCTGTCTCAGCGCCTGTCACATTGCAAATGGCCCTGTTTTTTCCTAAAAAAAAGTGTTTTTTGATTTAGTAGGAGTAAAAAATAAATAGCTGATAGATTTGTTGATCTTTCTAGCCAGTCCTATGTCAGAGAAACTGAGCAGAATGGTTACTGGGCTTGATAGCTAGTGATAACAAGCTTCTTTGAAGTAAGCCATTAATGACTCTTTTCCACCTCATTTTTACAACCTAGAAGTTAGTACTCTGCACAGCCTGGTTGTTATTAATGGACAGCATCCTGAAAAGGTGATTTTTTGTATTCCAGGAAGAATTATCTACTGAAACTGTGGCTTTTTCTCTTGTATGATAAGATGAGTGTATACGGCTATGTGGGCTCGCACACAACATTTGTAGGTGGCTGTCTTCAGCGTCACTGCAGCGTCTTCAAGAATTGGAGGCAATCCTGTGTTTGAGGAATTGAACTGAGCCTCCAGGCTGGACAGGATAGGTCAGGCTTTGAAAATCCATTTGTTTTTACATAAAGTATTGTTTCTCTCTTGTCATTTTATAAATCTACAATAAGCATAGTTTTTAACCTGTTCTGTTGGGAGGGGAAACCTCCCCCTCTCCACCCTACATATTTTCTCCTGAGGTGTTACCATCTGGTTTTCTCTTACAGCCCACCTAAACGGTTGTTGAAATCGTACCCTATTACCTCCTTCCTGCCCCACAATCCACTCTGCTGTGGTTGTAAGGGCAAAATTTGTTTGTCACCATTTTGGAATCCGCTCCCCCATACCCAAAACATTCCCATCTGTCCACAAGGAAGCACTGAGAAAGTGGACTAAGCTATCAGCTCAGCTCGCAGGCAGCCAAGGTAGGCAAGTTGATCCGGACCCCCTTTTCCAGATGTACTCTCGTGACTGATATTAAGGAGTTTTAGCCCCTTAATTTCCAGTTATTTTTTTCTCAGCTGTTAACTGCCCCCCACCCCTCTGTGACTTATTGTGTGAGGCACGCTCAGCCTTTCAGTGTGAATTAAAACAGCACCCAACAGCCAAAGGGTCGTAGCTGTTTAAGCTGTTAAGGCTCAGCTGAAAGAGTATATCCAAGCATACCCTTCAGCTCTCTGTCCCTCGGCCTTCGATCTATAAACTGTGAATTACGTCTCCCTGCCTCATCACGGCGAGCTGTGACAGTTACTAGCTCACAGGATTACTTTTAAATAAAAATATATTTAAAGCTGAATCCAGTGAACTCAACCTGAACCTTTTTCAACTCCCATATGCCTACCGCAAGGAAGAATCCCTCTCTGGAGGATGTAACTACGTGGAGACACCGATTTTGGGAAAAGCAAGGTGAGATTACCGCTTGGTTCATAATGCCACGCAAGACAGACAAGAGTAGCTGTGCCCTGACCTGGGCTCCTGAATCTTGATGGACAGAAGTTTTTTCTCTGCATCCAGGTCATGAGGTGTTGGTTGAGGCTGAGCTCTAAGGAATAGAAGCTTTGAGTAGGATTTAATACTGCCATTTGTTCCCACAAAGCAAAGCCCCTACAGTCTTCGTGCTGCTTGGGTATGGCTTTGCCTTTAGTAAGCACAAATTGAACTTCTGGCCTCCCTGGAGTATGGGTAGAGCATAAACCCAGCGAAAAGAAAAAAAAATGTTTGTAGGGTTATAGCAAGACAATTGCTCCCAAGATAACTCATAGGTTAATAGGGTAATCTGTAGGGTCTGTGACAAGACAAACAAGGCAAGGAGAGATTTCCCATGCACATTCGTCCCAGGCAGGACGGGACTTTAACTTTAGCATGTCCTCCACACCCAGAACAGTTACAACACGTGCTCTGCTCCTGCTCTAAGTAGAAGGAGTAGTGGCAGACCTGGAGTTTGACCGAAATGAGAAAATAAGCCTGAATGTGGTGGGGAAATGGGTAATGGATGTGCTGCCCCAGAGCTGCCCTGAGTGTGCTGTGCCCTTCTTCTCCAGCAGGTTGGTTGGAGATGGTAGCACTGGCAGAGAGGAGGCGTGCAAGGAGGATTGCCTGCTGTGGTTTTTGTTTTCAGGCCAAGTTGCCCTTGTGTTCATCCATGTGGCTCAAAGAGACTGAGATTTCCCTTTCAGGGCTACTGCTTAGTGACCAGCAGTGTAAGCCAAATGCAGTCCTATAGGGATCAGAGTATTTCTGCAGGAAACAAAGTGGGGAGAAAGGGCTCACAATGGCAAGTAAAGGAACAGAGGTAGGAAGGGCAGAGAGGGGAGAGAGAGAGTGCCCAGACAGCACAGGAAAGCAAAGGCAGCCATGGTTCAACACCTTTCCAACCTCTCATTTTGTCTGGGAGTTGAGCAGTGAATACCCTTCTTTATCTGTGCCAATGGTATGTGAAAACCACTAGGTAGAAGGCAACTCATTAGGATGGACATGCTACTCCATGGCAAGAAGAAAATGTTACTGAACCTTTTTAAGGAAAACCAGCACAGAAATGAGTTTGCCAATAGCACTTACAAGGATCAGACTGATTATTTTTACAGTGTCCTACTTGGCTTTGAAGACCCCTGAGAGATATCTGTCCCGGAGGATGTGCAGAGCACTTGCAAGCAGTGACATTCTCAGATGTCCATGTCCATGTCCATGTGTCCACTCATTGTCTGTATTTTTGACTCTGCCAAAGTTTAATGACACAAATCCTATCGATCAGAACAGGAATTGTGTAGCTAAATTCTGTCCTGGAGTTTGGAGGTTAAATGAACAGCGTGTGTTAACATCTTTATAGGTTGGCAGAGCCATTGTGCTCACAGTACCTGGTCTCCATGAGACCAGGGGAAAGGCCTGGGGAGGTGCAGGTAGGTCAACACCTGGTTACACACCTGGTGTCAACAGGAACCAGCAGTTTTGACCATGGGACCCACTGCGAGGGCTGAGGGCTGCTAAGGAGAGATCTCTTCCAACAGTCTGACCAATTTGGTGAGAAAAGCTGAACTAGGAAGAACGGGAGGGAAGGGACAAAGACGACACAGTGAGGTAGCAGTGTAAAAGAGTTAACGAAAAAAAAAAAAGATGGCAGGGTTTGGGGAGATGGCAGGGTTTGGGGTAAAAGAAAGACTTCAGAAGTAATAAAGGAAGGCAAAAGGACAAAAAAAAAAAAAGAAAAAAAAAAAGGATGGATGTGTGGTTAAGGGAAGAGCATTGGACATTATTTGCACTGATTTTAGCGAGGTTTTTGGTATAGTTTCTCACAGTTTTCTTGTACCCAGCTTGGGACATTATGATCTGGATGGGTGGTCAACCAAATGAGTAGAAGCTTGGTTGGACAGCCAGGCTTGGAAGGTCATGGTTACTGATCAAGCCCTACCTGGACACCTATGATGTGAGTGAGGTATTGCAGGGCTATCCTGGGACCTCTCCTGTTTAACAGCTTTACCAGCTACCTGGAGAAGCTGGAAGAATGTGCTCTCATCAAATGTGTAGATGACACCAAGAGGGAAACCAGTCAATATACTCAAGGGCAGGGCTGCCATTCAGAGGGACTGAGACAGACAGGAAGAAAGGGAAATCAGGAACCTTGTGAAAGTCAACAATGACAAAGCCAAATCCTGCACCTGGGAAGGAAGAAGCCCCCCAGTACATCTAGGAAAGTGGTCATCCCACTGTGATCAATGTGTGGTCATCCCACTGTGATCAATATGTGCTAGATCACATCTGGATGCTGCATCTGGCTTTGGGCTCCTGGTACAAGAGCAATATTGAGAAACTGGAGGGAGTTCAGGGGAGGCCACTGAGATGGTTGGGGGCTGAAGCACCTTGTCCTCTGAGTAGAGGCTAAGAGAGCTGGCCTTTTTCAGCCTGAAGAAGAGACATTTTCATGCAGACCCAGCAGCAAACCCCTAGAGCCTATAGGAAGGTCATCAAGAAGATGGAGCCAAGCTCTTCACAGCAGTACAGAATAAGAGAAAGCACACAAGGAACAAGATT